TCTAAACATATTCTAAAATTTGATGGTATTTTCGACATTTTTATTTTCGTTCAATAAAATTTAAAAAAATGGCGTTTGACTTCGTTGCAGTTTTTTTATCTCGCCCAAAATGCAAAGAAAACAATTTGTGCGCCGTAGAAAGTTAGTAAAAACTTTGAATTTTATTAAAAATGAAAAAAGTAATAATAAATTAGAAGTAAATAAAAATGAAAAAAAAAATCCGAATTTGCAAAATTGGACTCACTAATTCCAAAATTAATTTTTTTTTTTAGGTGCCCAAAAATTTTAATACTTTTCAATGGCGTACTATGAATATATTTTTAATATATACTATAAAGCATTTCCTTTCAGATAACAAATTGTAGGAAGCGGCTAGTATATATGTAATAAATATGCTCAACATAAATGTAGGAAAAGTAGTTTTATTTAGGATTCTGATAATATGTTAATACTAGCCGAAACACACACAGACATACTTCTAAAAATTGGAAAATTGTCCAATTTTGTCTATATTTTGTTTACAGTTGAAATCTATCAGTCCAACTATTGTGGACCTACAAATGGAACGAGCTAAGGCTCGATATTTCAGAGAGAACGTTTAGACGAGGTCTGGTGGAAAATCATTTGCTGGAAAGATCGTCCAAAAAAGTTCCATTATTAACCAAGCGACATCGGCAAATTCGTATCGAATTCTTAAAATCTCACATAAGTTGGAAAGGACCAATATCCGAAAAAATGACGAAATATCTTATGGTCAGATCAATTGAAAATTAATTTGAAAGTGACGGTAAACAATAGGTTAGACGATCAAACACCGAAGACTTTTGTTCCCGCTGCACCAGTAAAACTGTGAAACATGGTGGAGGAAATATTATGGTGTGGACATGATTTTCCTGGTATGGCGTTGGACCAATATATTATATAGACAACAATGTGTACTGTCATATCCTTAATAATGTAATTCTGCCTTACGCCGAATGGGAAATGTCACTGAAATATTGTTTCCAGCGGGACAATGATCCAAAACATATTTCGGTCATTGCAAAAAAATAAATTGGTGGAAAATAACGGATTTAAATCCGATCCAAAACTTCTGGAAATGAGTCAAAAACAAAATTGGACCCAAAAAAAAAACACGTAACAAAAATGGTTTGTGGGAAAAAAGTTCAAGCTGTTTGGTATTTCATATTAAGGAAACCTGTAGGACATTAGTAAATGCAACGCTGTTTTGAAAAATAAGGGCTTTACAAAAAAAAAAAAAAAAAAAAAAAAAAAAAAAAAAAAAAACTAAACTAATGTAATGTAAATGATTCAAATAACTAAAGTTATTTTCAGTATTCATTATTTTTTTCGATGTGATCCTATTTTTTCACATATCTTTTTTTGTTTTAAATGTTATAATGATCAAAAAAGATTTTTTGCTGTTCATTAAACAAGAATAATAAATATATTTCCAACTAAATAAAAAATACTACCCAATGTTTAACCACAAAATACGTATTCTTTGACCCTATGACCTATCTATTGGCACGTGACTGTATATCCTAATGTTGTAATCAGTTGGTAGCACTAAAACTACTAGTGTAAGGTTTCTTTAAAGTTTACAAAGTTTTAAAATTTAGAGCGCCTAAAATCATGCTATAAAATTTTAAATAAAAATGTGTCTACTAACATTATGACCCTAAAGGGATACATAAGCAAGTTGTCATCACTGAAATGTCTCGGTAATCGGACGGATAATTTCTAGTTTGTTTTAATTTTACTGCCTTCAAGATACCCCAAATTTGGGCAGGCCATGAACATGGTCGATCTGGGAGAATTTCCAAAATTTGCCTCCTCTTTGAGATGTATTCTTCCAAACACCAAAACACATGTCTCCTATTTTTAGCTATACTTTCTAAATCTGCGTGATTTTTTCCCGAATTTAATTATTGAAAAAATTGAATTTGTAATTCAAAACATTTTTATTTTAGTTCGACAAATAATTTTTTTATTGCTAACATTACAATTGTAATTCGAGAATTCTTTTGTAACTCGCGTTACTTTTCAATTGAAACTTTTGTTTCATTTGTATTTCAATGTTTTCATTATTGTTTTGTTACATGAATCTGATATTTTTAATTTTTTTCGATATCATAAAAGAACAATTAAAAAAGAAGCTAAGATCGGCCGGGCAGAACTTTTAATAACCTGCACCATTTGGAAGAAATTTGAAAAATTAAAAAAAATCCTTGAGTAATTTCGCTTAAATGAAACAGTTATATGGGAGCCATAGAGAGACGTGTGCTTGCATAAGTAATTTTCTTTTGTAATACCTATTCCGAACTTCAAATACGACATTTGAAAAATTTCCGGTGAATAATGTCGCTAATATCATCAAAATACCGAATAAAAGGAGGTATCATTATTTGTGGGCTATGAAAGGACGTGGACCTGGATGGACAATTTACTGTCATATGTTGTATTACTCATTATGAACTTCAAATGCAACTTCAAAGGTCACAAGTTCCCGTCAAAATCACGAGAAATGGTCTTCATCCCCAAAATATTTTACAAACATATTCGGAAATAGACCTCACTTCAAGAATCCACTCAAAATTTCGTGGGGATTAACATGGACAGACGAACGGACACACATAGCTAGATCGACTCAGCTTGGCGAAATTAAAATTTAGTTTTAAAGTGAGAATCAGATTCCGACCATGGTCCAAATTCTCGCAAAAAATCAAATAAAAAAAAATTAATCGAAAATGAAAATTTTTCCTGTTGGTTGTTAGTTGTTTCTATTCATATTTTCAATGTAATCAAGCTAAAATATGCATTCACAAAATTAATTTAGTCGATATCGAATACCAGAATTTTAACTCAGAATAATAAAATAATATGTACGTGGTTGGAGAAATGGTCAAATACATATTTCGTTCCCCTTTTCCCCGATTTATCCAATTGCACTGTTCCATGTATTCTTTTTTTTCATCACCCCTATTGCAGAATAAATGGAAGTTCCCATTCACAAAGGGAATTCGAATTCCCATTCACAAAATGAAATTTCGTGATAATTCCCATTCTCATTGATTTGCTATTACCAAATTATGGGAACAAATAAAATCAACTGATATTTTCGAACATTAAATTATATTTGCTGATAACTGTGAAATTGTTCTCGTGTCATTTTTAAAATTTTGATTTTTCCAAAAAAATCCCATGCAATTTCAAAGGGAATAAATGTTACAAAATGTGAAAAAATAATTTTCATTCCCCCTTCTTTTCCGAATACGGGAATTTACATTCGAACATTGCCATTTGGGGAAAACGGAATTCATAATAACAACAATTGGAAATGGAAACAAAATGTAATAGGGTTGAATATCATAACTACTTCAAAGAGGTTCTAGTCACAAAATGTAAGCCAATCCACACAATTTTAAGAAATGTCTTACAAATTTTTATACAATTGGGTTTCTAAAAGCATCATAATAATAACAAGTAAACTAGCTTTAAATTTGGCCAAATCTAAACATTTAATATCCTACACCTCCGTGCGGTAAAGAAAACATTTAAAAATACAAGTATAGGAATTGAATTTTATGTCCACTTCCATTTTAGCCAGTGAAATTGGTTGGTAAGTTTTCAATATACCAAGTATATGCTGCCGCTTTCCTGCTACTGTGATTGTTATCAATTGCGAGATTTATATAAAAATTTTGAAAAAAATATGTTAAAGATGTTAATAATATTACCAAAATACCAAATTTTCGGAGATACCGCTTTATGGGTGATAAGGAAAAAATATGGGCCTATTCCAAATAACAGAACCCATTACAAACCGCACATGGATGCTAAGGTACCGTAACATGGATGCTATCGGTTCCGTTACATAGATGCTATAGGAACCCGTGGGTACTTATACAAAAAATAATCTGCCACCAGAGACAGAAGCCATTACAAACTTTTAATAGGGAATTTTAAATAATTCCGTTAGAAAATTTTAAGAAGGTACCGTTGTATGGAAGTTATATGAAAACGTGAATCTATATATACAATAATCTACCACAGGAGGTAGAACACACTACAAACTGTCATTGAACACATTTTTAACGACGTGCGCAGAAATTCATATCGAAATCACTTTGAGGGGAAAGATACATTTCCCTCTATAATCATTAATTCCATTTTTGGAACCCTAATAAAAACCATAACTATGGAAAAATTGTCAATTGCTTATTGCAAACGAAATAGGTTTTTAGATATTAGACGATCCGGGGAGATACAAAGTCCGGTTAGGATAATATTTTGAACAGAGGAGAAAATCCAGTCAGATTTAAGTTAATGTTTCGTTGAATTTTGGATCGCATCACTTAAACATCTTCCGAATTCCAGTGTAATCGGCCTTGACAAAAATTGTAAAGACAAAGAACCTAAACAAAGTAACAAACAAGTAAGAATGTATTTCGATGAATTTTCATTAATATTCCAAAACGTTCCAAAAAATATCTTCCTTACAACTCTTAACGCCATATTTCATTTCCGTATATTTTTAATTTTTTAATTTAAATAGCATTGAGATTTAGGCTTACATTCCAATTTCGAATTTGACCAGAAGTTGACAGGCTGGAAAAAGTGAGAAAAAAGACCAAAACTTGCAAAAACACGTAAAACTAGACAAAAATTTCGAGAATGTATGATTATCCTCCTTGATCAAACAATATAATCCATATCGGTAGTGTGCAATTCTCCTCCAACTCATTCCTTGAGTTATCGCCAAAAATCATTAAAATTAAAAATCTTAAAAAGAAAAAGCTTAGCAACAGTTGTCAAATTTAATGTAGACATTGTATACCATATTTTGCGTTTTAATCCAACTCATATTTGTGGATAATTCAAAAAATAAATTAGAGAATCACACTACAGATGAATTTCTATAAAGACCTTCCTGCGCTGTGTATGTTTGAAACAAGCAAACGTAAAATATAACGAAAAAAAAATAATATGCTTTAAAATTGTTTTGTTTGTTTTTTGTATCATTTGTTGTTTTATTATTTTAATACACATTTAATTTTATCTGTTTGTTTTTTTAATTGTTTCTTTGCGTTTTTAATTAAACTTAATGGGTTTTTTGTTTAGAATTAATATTAAAGCTAACTATTTACAACATAATCATAAGATGTTTTATTTTATATATATATAAAAAAAGTATATTATTTATTTCTTCTGGTTTGTTTTTTTATATATAGTGTTTTTGAGATATTTTTTCTTCAGTTTTTAAACAATTTTTATGTAATTAATGAAGAAGAAGAGAAAACGTTTGAAAAACTAAAACAGCTGGTGGTTCTGAGGTGTTGGTATTGGATTGGGGGCAAGCTAGCTGTTGCTGCTATTGGGTTCCTCAGGGTAGTATTAGTATTTACTGTCAAAAGAAAGACAAGCTGCTTAAATTTTGTTTTATGGAATTGGATTACGAAAATGTAAGAAATTCTCTCCTGGTTTGAAATTAAAAATCAAAGAAAACAAAATAATGAGTTTTTCTTGTTTTGGAGAAAAAAAAAGCCAAGAAGAAACATTAGTTTTGGGTAATAATTTTGTTGTTAAATTAACAAAATTTGTTTTATTTTTTGTTTTGTTTTTCAAAAATTAAAAAAATAATAGTTATTGAATAAAAATAATAAACCAAGATCTTGAAAATAAGATCTTTAAATGTAATAATATTTTGTAACATTATTATGTTGTTGTTGTTGTGGTATATAAATTATTTCAGCGTATTTCTAATAATTTTCTAAAGAAGAAAAAAATATAGTAATTTTATGTAATTTTTTTCTTTTTTTATATGTTTTTGTTTGTTTTTTTTTTTAATATTTAAAAAGGGGGAGAGCGTTTTTTTTTTTCGTTTATAATTGGTTTTATGTTTTCTTTTCTTTCCTTCTTTAATTAAGTTTAATTATGGTTGATTTGTTTTTACTTCATACATTGATTATTATTATTATAAGTTTTTTTTTATCATTATTATTATGTGTTTTTATTTTTAGTTTCTATACATTTTTTTTAATTTAAGCATAAATGTAAGTTTTCTTCTTCTTTCCTTGTAGTGGCTTTTTATTATTATTTATATAATTATATAATTTGTTTCATCTTGTTGTGGGGGGGAGGAGTTGGTTGGTTTTCATTTTAACATTAAATGATAAAAATTAAAAATTACAAAAAATTTAATTTTCTTTTAATATATACTAAAAAAAGGTTTGTTGTTGCTTTACTGTTGAGTTGTGGTTGCTGTTTATACATACATTTCTAGGCTAACACAAATTTTGTCTCATAAGAACTCTTTTTCGAATATAAATTGAATTTTGTTTGTTTTTTAGTGTATGGCCTGAATTTGCTGTTTGTGTTTATGGGTGTGTGTGTGTGTTTGTGAGAGTTTATATGTATATTGTTTATAGAGGCTTAGAAGCAGTCAGAGCATCAGTTTAGCCTGCTTGTCTTCCACATTTCACGGCTAACTGGGATTGATTTAGTCCCAAAGAACATTTTCCTCCTTTTCTCATGGAATTCATGAAATCAATTTTAAACTTAAATGTTTTCTCTTTGAACTAACTAATCCAACGTTCGCTAAGCCTTTTCGAGGCTCTAAACTTCCATTGTAAGTTTGCTCTTCCTTTATCACTTCGTCGGTGTTCCTCTATAAACATTCGTTTTTTTTTTTTTTTTTTGGCAGCCTCCTTCATCTTCTATTTGTTACTGTGTGTTTAATTGTTATGAGTGTTGTGTTCTCTTTTGTTTTCTATTATTATCAATATGCTGTTAAGTGGAATGGTATTTGTTGTTCTTGTTTGTTGTTGTTGTGATTTTTATTGTTCTTGTGTATTTGAGAAATTAAGAAAAACGAATAAAATAAATCTTTGTTATTGTCAAAAAGTAATCAAAACAGTAGCAACAGCAGTCACGTTAGTTTAGTGGTAGATAGTGGTTGGGTAGGTAGTCGTAGTCGTAGAAGACGATCGATGCATCATAGATTAGAGACGAGTAGAAGAGAAGGGAGTAGAGGGCGATGGGCGTTTTGCAATTCTTAATGCTGTTGCTTTGCTGTTTGTTAGGCAACAAAGCTGTTGCTGATGCTGTTGCTGCGCCGACGACATCGCCATCTCTGCTGGCTTTTGGCATTCAATAACAATTTCTCGGCCATTTGTTTCATATTTACACTGATGATGTTGCAGAAGAAATCATTCATTTTTTGTAAGACCCTAAATGGTAGTTATCTTGCCTCGTCTCACCTATTGATTGTCGTGGTGTTATTTGTTGTTGTGACATTGCTGTTGCCGGTACTGCCACCGCCACCATTCGAAGATGAATTGTTGCTGTTTGCCGTCACAGGACTGCTGTTGTTGGTATTCTCAATCAAACCACCCCCACCGCCGCCACCACCAGCCGAGCCTCCGGCTGCAGAAGCAGCAACAGTTATGGACTTCAAATCGGCCGTTGAGTTTATTATCGTCAAGCCACTGCCGGTGGCATTCATATCACTCAGTTGCTGTTGCTGATCGGAATTGTTGAGACTATTGGATGTGTTGGAGTTAAGATTTCCCGTTGATGTTTGCTGATTTGATGATACAACCTGAACTGTGGTACCACCGCCGACGCCACCCCCAGCATTGCTCGCCGTTACATTGTTACTGTGATTGTTGCCGGGCGCCGACGCCACCACGGTTGCCACTGGCACCGTTCGCATATTGGCAAAGATTTGATTGTTCCCAATACGATTTCGCAGCACAGCATGAGCCATACCTTGAGGATTAATTTGAACCTGCATTTGTCCCGTATTATTCTTTTGCAGTTGCTTAACATTCACCAGACTGGTGTACAAGACACGCTTGTTATTATCACCCGTAACCGAAACGCCACCACTGCTGCCAGAGGTGGCGGTGATAGTGCCAGCAGAAGCATTGCCGCCGCCGCCGCCACTGCCGTCCACCGATGTTGCCGCACCAATGATATTCAAAATTCGTTCTCTTTTCAGTTTACCCTGTTGATACAACAACTGCTGCGACAACAAATGCTGCAGCTTTACATTTGAATTGCCAGCCGCCTGCAATTTCTGGGCAGCCGACTGCAATTCACTGGCATTGGTTATGGTGTAGTTTGTAGCTGCTCCACCGCTAGAACTTGCGGTTAGATATATCTTATTACCCCCACCGCTGCCCTGCTGTGAAGCCTGAGAAGTTATAATGGCTGCTGTGGGTTGTAGGCTGTAGTTGTGATTTGCCGCAATGGCAGCAGCTGTATTGTGTTTTTGTTGTTGCTGCAAATTAACCTCGGATACCAGTAGGGGGAATGATGATGGCATTTTGATAACTTTACCGCCGCCGCTGCCACCACCGCTAGTAGTAACTTTTTGTATTTGTTGTTGTTGCTGCTGCTGCTGCTGTTGTGTGGTATATGTAACACCAGTGGTTGTGGTTGTTTCCTGGCCACTCAATGCATTCAATGTCGTCGTTAAGTCATCATCTTGCGCTTGCTGCTGTTGTTGTTGCTGCTGCTGTTGCAAGTGTTGCTGTTGCTGCTGTTGTTGAAGAATCTGTTGGTGGGCTTGGGTTATTATTTTTCGTTGTGAGAGCTTGCGATTCAATAACACCTTGTTGATATCTAAAGAAAAAGATTATGGAAGAAAAAAGAACAATGGATTAGAACAAATATGTGCAAAAATAGGAAAGGAAGTAGGAACAGATCAGTTCTGAATGTATTTTTTCATAGTAAAATTATAAACAAGGATATTTTGGTGCATAAACTTATTTTTTTAACTTTCCAAAAGAGATTAATGTCGTACCAAACTGAAAGTACGATGTTAGTCGTAGTCGTTCAAAAGTACCTCTCCACCGAATGGTGTACCGTGTCTAGGTCTATTTTCTAAACAGCCATCTGAAATAAAGCTCGAGCCAGAAAGAACCATTACCTAAGGCTCTCAAAACTCTAATCACAAACTACACAAAAGTATTAGGAGTAATAAAAGCGATAATAAGTAACTCATAAAAATGAAAACCTTTGCAATATTAATAATTAACCACAAACTTAAATAGCCGCACGTGGGTATGAATAATTCGTTGATATTTCCCTCCAAGCTTATGTTATTTTTGCCAAAGCAATATGCACAACATAAATAATATATTTTTCTCTGAAACGATTCGAAAACACATTTGATCAGATTTCTACCAATCTTTATAAGAAAAAAACTTATATTTTATGCTCTTGTTGTTCAATTCTTGTAGCGACAATGGCGACGAAGGAACATATCCTCGTCGCACTCATTAACAGCTCTAAACCCCTTACAGGTAATCACTTTTGACGAGGTGTATGAAGTCAAAACGTGTAAAAAACTAAAAATGCGACATGAGCATCATCTGTCAAGTTACCACTCCTTCTAGTAACTACTCTACCAAAGGTCAAAATCTGATATTATTTTCGCATTTTCTTAATTTTTTTATATCTCAGTACAGGGTGAGATGAAAAAACTGTCATTTCTAAGCCACTCTTCCGCCAGCTGTTAAAATTATTCCAGTGACAGGTCATTATATTGTTTATAAGCGTACAAAAGCATTTTGGTGAGAATTTTCCAGAAAAAAAATTATTCGTGATGGAATTTAAGCGCGATAGTGTGATATCTTTATATTTGGCAGGAAAACCACAAGTGGCTATCGTTAGAGCACTCCAGCATTTAAATGTGAATAAAACTTTTGTGTCGCGTATTATCGCTCGTTACCGTGATACTGATAGCGTAGCCCGACGTCAGGGAAGTGAATGGAAGAAAACAGCAACATCAGCAGAAATAGTTCGAAAAATAAAAAAGCGACGTGATCGAAACCCGCGTCGCAGTGGCCGAAAAATGGTTCGTGAGCTGAACATAACGCTATATTCCATTCGCAAATATTGAAAAATTAGCTCGGGATAAAGCCATTGAAATTCCAAAAAGTGCAAGAACTTACACCGTAACGGAAAGAAAATAGACTCAAAAGAGCTAAAGAGTTGCTTCGCTTGGCCGAAAGTGGTTAACTGCCGAATTCGGGTTTCTCCGATGAGAAAACATTCGTTGTCCAGCAGTTTGTAAACAAACAAAATGATCGTGTTTACTTGCCAAAGAGGTCAACTGAAAATGTGCACCTTCGGTTGGTCACCAGAACTCAAGCGCCGGCCATGGTGATGGTGTGGGCCGCCATAAGAGCCGGTGGTCGCTCTCCGCTCTTATTAATCGAACGTGGCATCAGAATAAATGCCAAAAATTATCGCGAAAATATTCTAGAGCTGTATCAAAGCCTTGGACACGCAAACATTTTGGCCTTGGACATTCCAGCAGGACTCAGCACCATCGCAATCAGCACGCGCGAATGGTTAAAAAATGAACTTCCTTGCTTCATTTCCAGCGCACAATGACCACCAAAATCTCCGGATACTAATCCGTTGGACTATTGTGTCTGGAGTATTTTGAAAAGCAAGGTTGGCACTAAAAAATACCAAAGTGTCGATCACTCACCTCAAGTAAGCGCTTCGTCGGGAATGGGCCCAAAATATTGCGTTTGATTTTGTTGCAATTTTTTATCTCACCCTGTATATATCTAAAGTTAAATATTCTAGCCAAGAGAGTCTCGAGGAGCAGAAAATGAATACATATATATTAGTTTACAACTTGGGCATGTATTCACCACGAGAGTTAGGTATACAATCTGAAATGACCAGAGCCCCTCACCTCTTGTAACTCTTGATTTGGGGTATTTTGACTATTGACTATTTGTCATTTCGGTTTCTTTCTGGGCAAATTCACTACTTTCAAAATATATTCAATGTAGGTTCTAATTTTTTTATAGCCCCCATATAACGATATTTCCGGATTTTCAGTATTTTGACCGCCCAAATTCCTACTAAATCAGCTGTAATTTGATATTTTGGATATTTCGAGCCACTTTGTGTTATAGCCCCAATGTAACCATATGTTCCTCATAGTAAGCCCCTGCTCTTGCTTTTGTTCGTTGCCGCCACTTCTTCAACCAATACATTTACACCAATCAATGGCTCCAATTTTGGTCCCACTTTCCAAACAAAGAAGATTTAATCCTCTCCAAAAAGTATTCGATGTTCAATTTAAATGATGAATTCTTTTGTGTGATTAAATAAATTTGAGAACAATTCAGATTATCAGTTTTTGATAATTTGCGTCGTTTCCTTTAATTGTTTTTTCCAGTTATATGATATTTATATTTATACACATTTGGATATATATGCACGTCCCATTTACAAAATAAAAACAAAAAATGATGCATTGAAAAACCAAAAACTGAAAATGAAAAGTTCAGTGTACTATAAAATTCTGATGAAATCCCTTGCGCTCTACTCCGCAGCTGTTGATTATAATAATAATAACAATAATAATTGAATGCTCATGTTATGCGTCATAGTTTTTATCGGTTCAGTGTTAGACACAACAATCATTGTTTGTAAAATGAATTAGTATATTGCTGGCTGTTGTTGTTATCAAATTAAAAATAACGTATAATTTTGAACGTATTTTTGCAAAGATTAAAAAGAAATCTGCCAACCAATATAATATGTAGGCATCGGAAATATATTAGTCACAATGTTATTGTCAACTTTTTTATTTCAAATAGAAATTTGAAAACTAGATTTTCTACAATCTATATTTTTGATGAGATTATATTGTATTATGTTTGATAAGCTATCTACCAAGCACTGAAGCAATTCACAAACAAGAGAACAACAACCGCTCAGTTCTCGAATGTAGAAATGTAGTATTTTTTCTTAAAGAGCGTCATTCACTTATAGTGCATGCTGATATCTTGAAAACTCATATTCAATTAAAGATTGGTTAAAGTCATTACAAAATTGTCCGCAAACATAAAAACGTTGCTGAAATAGTCTCTGAGTTATTACATTTTTAAGTTGGGTTAAAAGTGGAAAATTGAAAATGTTTAGCGAGGAGTTAAAATACCCACTGCGAAACGGAAATGTCAAATTACAAATGATTTGGTTGTAAATTTGGGACCAAGATCTTAAAAGTTCCGCTGAATATAACATCACTGTGTGTCCAAAATTTCAAACATCTGTCCTAAATTGTTTGAGCTTATCGCCATTCCAATATACGGCATAGCGTTTTACTCAGATCTTCAGTATTTGTATTCTATGGGGTCTACGAATTTAGTATGGTCTCCATTTTAAGGTGGTATAAAAAGGTTAAATGTCTCTGGCGTCGGAGCAACTCTAGACATCTTTTTAGAGCATTCCTTCTCTGTCTATCAATAACATTACACATCTTTCTTACAAAAATGTCTCCACCCCAGATTACAGGGTGAGATGAAAAAATTGCAACCAACTTAGACTGCTGTCATTTCTAAGCCACTCGTCCGACAGCTGTTAAAATTATTCCAGTGACAGCTCATTACATTTTTACAAGCATTTTGGTGAGAAAAGAAAAAAAGTTATTCGTGATGGAATTCAAGCGCATCTTTATATTTGGCTGGTAAATCACAGGTGGCTTTCATTAGAGAACTCCAGCATTTGAATGTAAATAAATATTTTGTGTCTCGTAACATCGCTCGTTACCGTGATACTGGTAGCTGGTAGTCAAGGAAGTGGACGGAAGAAAACAGCAACATCAGCAGAAATGGTTCGAAAAGTAAAGAAGCGATTTGATCCAAACCCGCGTCGCAGTGGCCGAAAAATGGCTCGTGAGCTGAACATATCGCATTATTCCATTCGGCAAATATGGAAAAATTAGCACGGGGCAAAGCCATTGAAATTCCGAAAAGTGCAAGAATTTACACCGCAACAGAAAGAAAAAAAGACTCAAAAGAGCTAAAGAGTTGCTTCGCTTGGCCGAAAGTGGTGAACTGCCGAATTTGGTTTTCTCCGATGAGAAAACATTAGTTGTCCAGCAGTTTGTAAACAAACAAAATGATCGTGCTTACTTGCCAAAGAGGTCAGCTGAAAATGTGCATCTTTAGTTGGCCACCAGAACTCAAGCTCCAGCCTTGGTGATGGTGTTGACCGCCATAACAGCCGATGGTAGCACGGCGCTCGTATTAATCGACCGTGGCATCAGAATTAATGTCGAATATAATCGCGAAAATATGGTGGCTGGAAAGTGTATTAAAGACTTGGGCACGCAAACATTTTAGCCGCAGATCTTGGACATTCCAACAGAACTCAGCACCATCGCACTCAGCACGCGCCACCCAAGAGTGATTAGAAAATGAGGTTCCTCGCTTCATTTCCAGCGCACAATGTCCACCAAAATCTCCAGATACCAATCCCGTTGGACTATTGTGTCTGTAGTATTTTGGAAAGCAAGGTTTGCACTAAAAAAATTCCAAAGTGTCGATCACCTCTAGCAAGCGCTTCGCCGGGAATGGGTCAAAATACCGTAGAGCAACATTCGGGCAGCGTGTGACGGTTTCATTGGCTATTTGAAGGCCATAATTCGTACCAAAGGTGACCAATATGAACAAATCTAAAGTTATTCTAAAATGTGATGCTATTTCCGATATTTTTGCTTTCTTTCAATAAAATTTAAATAAAAAAATGTAAACATTATGGCGTTTGACTTTGTTGCAGTTTTTTATCTCACCCTGTATATATATTCATATCTATCTTTAGAGCGCCATGAAATCTAACAAAATAAAAAATCTCCTCTCGCTCTCTCTCACTTACCTGTACTCTCTGGACCATTTAGCAGTCGCTTTTGAGCCGGTCGATTTGTCCAGACAATTTTATTGCCCGATTCCATTGTTGCCGTCACCGTGCCATCGGCATTTGTCACAGCCGTTGTGGCGCCAGCCAACATGCCAGCCGGTGTTGTTGTTACATTTGTCGAACCCAGTTGACGCCACACGATTTGTTGGGTCGGTTGACCCACCATTTGCTGTTGGGTCAATTGTTGGACGGCATTTCTCGCTGATGTGGTAACAATTAAGGGACCAGCCGTTGCATTGGAACCATTGCCAGTGGCATTTATATGCTGTACACCAGCTATATTCTGTACTGTCAATTGTTGTCCACTGCTAGTGTTGATGATGTTGACACCTTGCGTCGTGGTCGACGAACCCAACGAAACGGGAGCCTTCTGCAAATAGATTTTCTGTGAGCCGGTCGCAGTGCCAATAACATCACCAGCCGATGTGGTTGTGTAGATCATTTGACCAGTACTATTGTTATGGGTTACTGTGGCGGCCCCGATGGGCGTTAGCGTGGGTTGACGCATTATCGTTGTCGTTGTGGTATTGGAATTACTGGTAGTATTGGGAATATACTGAGCTATCACAGATGCACCGCCGCTAGCCGCATTATTTGTTGCTGCATTCACAAGTTCGCCAGCCCGTTGCTGCATTAACAACTTCTGCTGCTGCTGCTGTTGTTGCAATTGTAATTTACGCTGCTGCTGTTGTTGTAATTGCAGCTGATGTAACTGTTGGACGGTTACATTGCGTATCTGTTGAGTTGTGCCTTGTGGCTGTTGCAACACTTGTATTGTCGTCAGCTGATGTTGCTGCTGGGCCTGCGGCGATGCTGACTGTTGCGGCTGTGGCTGCTGTTGATGTTGTTGTATTTGGCTAGTGGCGGCGGGATTAGTACTGGTGGCCTGCAACTGATTGTGAGTGGTTGCAATTGTATCACCAGGATTAAGAGTGATGGTATTTCCAATTACCTGCAGCGGTGTTGAATGGGTAATTAAATGTGGTTGTGGATGTGGCTGCTGCTGTTGTTGTTGGCCGGACTGATGATGTTGTTGGACCATTGGCTGGGCAATAACAATTGGATCTGCAGGCTGCACAACTTCTTGTTGGACATTCAAATTTGCACAACCAGAAGTCTCCGCCGCTGAAGATGCCATCACCAGGGCTGGTGCTGCCACTATTTGTTGCTGTTGTTGTGGCGTTATACTAACAATCATGTTATTCGGTATCACTGCCTGGCCACCTTCCACCGCCAAACCAACCTTTGCTTCAGTCACATCCATGGCTTCAGATTTAACAGCTACCTCTTTATCTTGCACCGCTGTCGCCTCATCTTCATCACATGGCTCCTTTTTCAGTTCTTCTTCTTGCTTGAAGAATGTCTCATCCTTAACCAAAGCCTTTTCCAATGGCAAACAATTGAATGAAGAACTGCCCACGGGTGTAAGAGCTGCACAGGCTTTCTTTCCACCTTTGCCTCGTGTATTTGCTTTCTTGCTTTCCCCAACTCCACTTTTGTCACATTTCTTTGTGGCATCATCGATGCCATCCAGCAAACCGGCTGCCGCTTCAACGTCACCATCCACCTCGGTGTCAACATTTTCACCATCCAAAATACCATTCCAGAAATTGGTGGCCAATGTCTTAATATCATCGATTTGAACTTCCTGCAGTATATTATCCAACATGTCAGCATCATCGCCATCGCCGAGAAGATTTATGTCGTTCAAGGAGTCGCCACTGAAATTCAAATCCAGACAAGCACTGTTATTGGCCGCCTCGGGACTTTTACTACTGCCCCGGGTAATATCGGACATAAATGAACTCTGTAAAAGTTGAGTATCAGCCTCCAAGTCTTCGTATTTAAAAGCGGGTGTTATAAATGCTGCGCTGTTACACTCTTCGTCATCCTTCCAAAGAGTGGATTCCTTTTTCAACAACTTACTGGCCATCTTAACGTCTTTTATGGGACTTAGTGATTCTCGAACCATTTCTATGGCTATTGGTGTTTGCTGTGACCAATCGACCAGTGGCGATGATAGCTTATACTCCATATCTAAAGACCAAAAGTCTTCCTTTTCGGTTTCTGTGGGTGTTTTGGGCCTGAAATGCAACCAATCACGTCGTATTTCCGACAATAGTTCATTGCAAATATCCAAACGTTGCGACGAAGTGGGAGACAGTCCACCCAACATTGTTAGCTCATCGTCTGGCTGTTCTTGCTTTTGTTCGTTGTTTGCTGCCGCCACTTCTTCGATCAATACATTTACACCCTTCAATGGTTCCCCACTGCTATTGGGTCTCAATGGCCTTCTGCTTCTCCTCAGATCACGTTGACGTATAACATCAGCCATTTGATTATAGCATGAAACTTCGTCGTCTTCACTTTCCGAAGCCAGTTGTTGCTGGCCACTAACACCTGCTACTCGACCACCATTTCTTCCAAACATCTCCGCCGCCCGATCATTTGAGTACTCAAACATTACATCTTCCTCCTCCTCCTTCTTGATCTTTATCAAATTACTTAGCTGTGCCAAATTGAGATTTTCTTCGTCTTCAACAATATCAGCGGCTGCTGACGACGCTGTGCCAAGCTTTTGTATACTACTCAACGGCTCATTGGAATCATCGGCCGAGGCTAATGAGGGCGCTGACGAATCCATCATTTCCTGTTTAATGGCTCTCGATGTCATCAGCAAATCACCAGGATTACACGAGGACGTTGATGCATTTTCCGAATCTGCATCCTGTATGATGATCTCTCTTTTTATCACATTCGTTTTGTCACTTATACTACTACAATTATTACTTCTACTACCATTACTAATGTTCATATTAACATTGTTACTACTATTGTTGTTGTTGATAATGCCAATAACTAGCGACGATGAATTGTTGTTGCTGTTGTTGTTGATGGCTGGCAAAGACGATGAAAACGATGACAATGATGATGAGCTGATGCTGGTATTGTTGGTGGGGGATGTGTGTAGTTTTTCCAGGACGGTGGTGTTAGTGGCAGCAGTCGACGCACAACGATGATTGGTCCACGTTGTCGTCGTAGATCCCATTTCATCATCTGTTTTATTTAGGCCATTTACCTTCTCATGTTTAATGGGGTCTGCTGTTGTGTTGTTGGTCGATGAGTTAACTAAATTATTTACACGTCCATTGACACTACCCGTGCCATTATCCATCATCAGTGATTGAGACAATTTGTACAACAAACGTCGTTGTGCCGCTTCCATGTTCTTTTGCTGCAAATGGGCATTATTTAATTTACGCCGTTTCGAATTCTGTTCACTTTGCTGCCGTTGTTCTTGTTGCTCCTGCTGTCTTCTTCGTCGTCGTCTGAATCGTGCCATTGAGATACATGAGTGATATAGCCTATCCCTTTGTATGTGTAAACCATGTTCGTCTTCCAGTTCGTCATCGTCATCGGAATATTCATATTCACAATAGCCATTGAGACCAACTTCCAAATCATCGTCATTGCCATTAGCATCATCCTCCAGACCATTAATGACGGATGATGTCTTGGTATTATCGAGATGCTTATTATATATGTTGGTATCCACGATTTCTTGCTTAATTATAGTGGCGGGTGTATTTGCATTATTTACATTAGTAGTAGATGCTGCGGCTGATGTTGGTGCTCCAAACGCTGACGCCGCTGGGGGCACTAAATCAACAACAGTTGGTGGTGAGGCGGGTTTTGCAGAAGAATCTTTTTTATTAGTTTTTATCGTCGTCGTTGTTGTTGTATCGCCGACAATGCTATTGGTATCGGATGTTTTACTCTCCAATATTGTGTAGTCAAGCTGAGACCAAAAATCGTCCAAATTCGATCCTACACGATCCAAGAGAATGCGACCACCACGACCCATGCGACGTCTTGCAAAGCCAATACAACGAGGTCTAGAAATGCAAAAAATTGGGAGAATTCAAAACCAAAGCTCTTTGTTTTTCAAAACCAATTCTTTCTTACCTTGGATGTTTAATGGAGGCTAGGGTATAGCGATATTTAGTGTCACCGAAACCATACTCCTCCTTAGGCTCCCAAGGCCAATTGCCGGTATGGGCTCTTGACTGCAAGTGGAAATGTTCAACATTAATGCTTGGTGAAGAGTTTGAAAATCTCTTTCTACTCACCCTCAAATAATCGCAGCCTTGTCTTCTTCTAAATGCAAACGGAGCCTCTTCTTCACTTTCCGAACCGATTTTGTGCGCTAAATCTTCCTCCTCGGTTTCGATGTTCGACTCATTTGGCGCAGGCGATGAACTTTGACGATGCAGGTGATGATGCATATGATGCGGCAGGTGATGCGGCAAACTTGATGTTCCGCCCGGAATACCAGCCACTCCTCCAACACCCAATGCAGCTCCTGCGGTACCCGATGTTGGCATTACACCCATCGTGGCTAAATACTGTTGTTGCTGCTGCTGTTGCTGGTGATTCAGTTGTTGTTTATCACGTGGTATTTTATGTTTACGCTTCTTATACTGACGTTTCTCTTTGCGACTGCCAGCATTTAATGCATCTGCAGGGAACAAGTTCCGGAAAACATACAAAAAAAAAACACATTTTATTGAGCAAAGTTCTTTCGAAGCAAAAACTGATTCATTATTTACCCATAGCTACATTCGCTGAGTTCAGGTACTGCGGTGCTGATGAATACATATGACCTCCAGCTGTTACACTGCCCGTTTGACCCGGTGTCATCATGCCCGTAGAACCCATGACATTGTTCAAACCGGCTGCCGATGAACTAACACTGGGTACCACAGCCGTCGGTGTGGCTCCCGAAGATGATGAATGATGCGAGTATTGATTAGCATACAATGGGGCAAAGGCAGGTCTGTAATACAACAGAAACAAACAAAAAACGAAAGGTTTAAAAGACTTTCTAATAAAAATGCCAGGAACCCTCAATAGTAACCTTGAATTCTTGATGGTAGCACTGAGCTCTGACAGTAAAGCTCCATTGAAGTCTTTGAGTTGTACACGTTTCTCAAAGATTTCTATGGACAAATGCACATGTTCACGCTTGGTTTTCTCACGCCTCTTCACCATCTCCAAAACCGTGGTTGCCCGTTGCAGATCACGCCTAAAAATTAAAAAGGTTTTTGTTATTTTGATTTGCTTATGTTTGTATCCTCCCCGTATGTCCTGGTACTTGCCTTAACTTGAGCATCTTCTCATAGGAAGTCTCATCATTCTTACGATTCTTTCGCGTTTGCATTTTTTCAGTGCGCCGGCGAAATGCTAAGTACGGATTATTTGATGAGGCCCCCGGCCGATTCTCTGTCTTGACGGAGAGAATCAACGGATGTTGCTGTATTTGTGAGGATTTGAATATAGAAATGTAAAGAACAATAAGTAGAAAAGAATGCTAATAATGGGGCATATTTTGGTGCCTATTAAATTCTTTACCATTTTCAGGCGTTTATTCAGCCAGTAGTCGTAGACGGCTATGCTGACCTCATCGTCCTGTTTGAGCAGCGCTTTTGCCTCATTCAATGTAACCACTGTCTGGCCTGAACTTTTCTCAAGACGATCCATCATTTGTTCAAATTTGAATGGCGTTAAATCTAAGCGTTTTCGTTGTTGCGTAACCCACACTTCATCTTCACTATCCATATCGTATTCGGGTACATCTTGCTCCAAACCAAGTGCTAAATAAAAAAAGACAAAAAAGGTGAAAAGTTATTATTGAAAATTGAGAGATATTTTTTGTGGACACTTACGTTGCATGTGAATCAATTGCCGGGGCATACGGTAATTGGGTGGATAATTTTTATCATAGAAATCTTGTTCGGTGGTATAGACTTCCGGAGTCGGAATAATTAGACCTGTACATATTGCTCGTTGTAAATGATGTTCCTGTGAAAAGTAGATAGAGATAAAGTAAATATTAATAAATCAAGTTCATTTATTTTAAATGGCAAACAAATATTAAAGAAAAGGATTAAAGTGGTTTCGTTTTTTCACATCGGATGCAAATTGAAAGATTGAAAAATTGAACACATATTGTTTAAAAGATTTAATCCATTCAACAATAATTTGTTTCCAAAAAGCTCGATGTTTACTTTTCACCGAAAAACTCCTGCCTGTCAGTCAGGAAGTGTTTGAAATTGTAGTCGAATTCAGTCCAAATCCGCCATTGCATTGGTATTGTGTTTAAGGCTTATTTTTTTGCAATTATCATTATGGTAACACTGGTTTAAACAGCTCAGTGTAATATTCAGCAAATCAAAACATTTTCATTTTCCCCCCTAGATCTTGCGATTTAATCGCTTTTAGACTATTTTTTGGAGGGGTATGTTAAAGCTCATGTCTATACAGACGAGCCCGCTTCACAATTGACGCATTGGAAGACAAAATTGAAGCATTTATTCATACGAAAATGGGAAAATGGGAACCATTCAAGTATTGTTGTCACCTACCAAATCTCCTAAAATACTAAATTTTAAACAATTTCGTAGTTACATGTGACTAGGATTATCCAAATACCTAATTATCGGTGGGTATCGACACCAATTTTCAGACAAATACGTCGAAAAATCCTTTTCAAGGTGGAGGGTATAAAAATACTGATAATCAGCAGGGGACCAATATATATTCCATTTTCTAAACCAAACATCCTTGATGTAATATCAATACAGGTGCAGATTTTTAAAAGCTCTATCTCTAGGTACCCTTATATTGTGGCTAAGCCAAAAAGTGCATTGAATTTAATTTTCGAGGATTTACACACTGAGAAACCAAATGTCAAATTACAGCCGATTAGATTGAAAAGTGGGGCCAAATTGTGCAGAATAACGAAAATATGGAGCTAGCGTTAATTGAGGACAGGCTACCCAAAATAAGGACCTACATTGTATATTTTTGTGAGAAATTAAGCTACCCACTTCCGAAATGTCAAAAAACGGCCAATTTGGTTAGAAACTGTGGTCAAGACGTTCAAATTTTCAAAAATCGGGGGATACATTTATATGGGGGAGATTCCAAAAAGAGGACATACATTGACAATGTTTTGCAAGAAGTTTAACGACCCACTGAGAAACCAAAAAAAAAAATTTACATCGTATTGGGGTGTAAAGAGGCACCGAAAAAAACGCGGAGCATTATAGTCTATTTCCTAGGTATAATATCAATACCTGTGCGGATTTTCAAAGCTCCAGTGTGAGCTTTATCTTGTTTTCAACAGATAGCCGGATATGGCTAAATCTCCATAAAAGTTTACACTGATCGTTAGGTCACCGAAGAATATTTCGATATGTTACAACAGGAATGACAAATATACAGTATGAACTCAGGTTTTATGCTCTCCACCATAGTATGGAGGGTATATTAAGTTTGTCATTCCGTTTGTAACACCTCGAAATACACATTTTAAACCCCACAAAATTTGTATATTCCTGATCAGCATAAAATTCTATATCGATTTCTATCCGTCTGTGGAAATCACTCTAGCTTGCGAACGAAAGGAAGTAGGTTGATAAAATTTTACTCAAATGTATATTATGTCTGCATTATTTTTGGTATTGAAAATGGGCCATGTAGGTCCACGTTTTGGTATAGCCCCCCATAATGATACCTCCCTATTTTCGGTCTTTTGATTATTTTAGCGACATTATTCAATGGAATTGTCTCAAATTTGGTATTTGAAGTTCGTAATGGATACTACAGCCAAAGACAGAAAATTGTTTATGCAGGTTCACGTTTTCGTATAGCCCCCATATAACATAACTTACATTTTTTCGGTACTTTATTGATTTTAGCGACATTGTTCCCCGGAATTGATTCAAATTTGGTATTTGAAGTTCGTAATGAATATTACAGCCTAAGACAGAAAATTGTCTGTGCAGGTCCACGTCTTCGTATAACTCCCATATAACGGTACCTCACGATATTCGTTATTTTGATAATTTTATCGACATTATTCACCGATTTTGTTTTCAAATTTCGCATTTGAATATTGTAATGGCTTATGACTAATGTTGCCTATGCAGGTCCACGTCGTCGAATAGAACATTCAGTATTTTTAAGATTTCAAAAGAATTTTTAAGGGATTTTATTTTGTTTGAAAATTGCCAAATTCGTTCCAAATGGTGGTTCGGCCTGGCCGAACTAACAATTTTTTTATTTGTTATATATAAATATGAACACAGTATAATCAGGTTACTCCTAAATTTTCAGCACCTCATTATATGCTTATGAATCGAAGTATAGGTAGATTTAGGAATTAGAAATTAAATGATAAAATTCGTCCAACTTTTACCACTGGGTATATCTAATAATACCATGTTAATAGTGCAGCAAATAGAATTACAATTTAATACACATTTTAAATAATATATTCAGGTATAGAAGTTTTTGGAACCGTCCATGGCCCTATGGGCTAGGTAACTGTGTTAATTGAATATAAATAAAAAACATTAAGTGTTAATCAAAACACATGGAACCACAAGCAATTCCCTTACTCTGTGGCTATAAAAAATATGTTAAACAATTTGACCTAATTATAGACTGTGACAACCAGGAAACTTTGTTTCTTTTGGCTTGACAAAGTTTTGTTTTCCAAAGAAAATATGTACTTTAAAAATATGTAATTCTAAAAACTAATTTCTAATTAATGTCAGTAGTTAATTAAAATCCCCTGGCTTCACAATATTTCATATAGGTATATAGTAGTTATTTTATTTGAATGCGATTTAAATACAAACGTGTTTCTAAAACACAAAATGATATTCAAATTAATTCAACATGAAAATGTAGCCCACTTTAGATTCTATTGAATATTTTAAGAATTAATTAAAGAGAAAAGGTGGAACGAGTTCATCGATCGTGCTTTTGTCGTTCGTTTTTTCTATCTTCTTTTTTTCATGCAGTTTTGCAGATGTTTTAGCAAACATTTGTTGACCCACATAAGTTTATATTTGGTTTATTTATTGGTATTCCTTATTTCTTTAATTCCAGAAAATTATTTTCTTTCTTGTCAATTTCTGTGAATAATTGATAACAATAATATCAAATACCTATTAATTTATTCAAATTAGTACGCATTATTATACTTAAGCTAGCATTTCTTCTTCTTCGAACATTATCTCGTAGCATCTCAAGCGACAAATTAATTACTGATAATATTTACAAAACACAAGCAAAGAAATAAATAATAACTAATAGAATTTTAAGTGAATTAAAAAAGTATACGCCCCCATTTATAGATATGATTAGAATTTAAACGTTACTAAATCATTACTAGTATTTAACATTTTTCTTGATTGCTGATAAATGTTAGAAGGTTTATCTAGACTGGCTACCTTCCAAACACTTGATATCACAACGTTTAATAGACCAAAATAAAAAAAAATAAAATAAATAAAAACGAAGTTTAATTTGAATATTGTTTTGCGAGAAAAGCCCTAAATGCTAAATTATATAGCAGAAATTGGAGCAGAAAATTCCAAAATATCGATAGATATCGTTAGATATACCAAAAAAAGTACGCCTACATCAATCATTATTTGTGAGGATTAAACCTACCAAGTGAAATCCAAAATGTCAGATTACAGTTAATTTAGTTGGAAATTCGTGCAAAAACTTAAAAAAAAAACAAAAAATTACCATTATGTGTAAACTATACCTAAACGTTGACCGATATACAGGGTGAGATGAAAAAACTGCAACCAACTTCAGACTGCTGTCACTTCTAAACCACTCGACCGACAGCTGCTAAAAAAATTCCAGTGACAGCTCATTATATTGTTTACAAGCGTACAAAAGCATTTTGGTGAGAATTTTCCAGAAAAAAAGCAACAGAAGGAAAATAGACTCAAAAGAGCTAAAGAGTTGCTTCGCTTGGATGAAAGTGATGAACTGCCGAATTTTGTTTTCTCCGATGAGAAAATATTGTAGAGGGTATGTTAAAGCCCTGGGCACGCAAACATTTTGGCCGCACACCTTGGACATTCCAACAGGACTCAGCACGCGCCACCCAAGAATTGTTACAAAATGAGGTTCCTCGTTTCATTTGAAGCGCCCAAGGGCGCCAAAATCGCCTGATACCAAACCGTTGGACTATTGTGTCTGGAGTGTTTTGGAAAGCAAGGTTGGCACTAAAATATACCAAAGTGTCAATCACCTCAAGCAAGCGCTTCGCCAGGAATGGGCCAAAATACAGCAGAGCAACATTCGGGCAGCGTGTGACGGTTTCATTATTGGTCGTGTAAAGAGAGATTTTGCGGATTTCTAAAAGTAAATCCTATCTGATTACAAAACAAATTTCGTTTACATCTGTGATCAGGTGTGGTATGCCCAAGCGATTCTATCGAATATCTGTCTAAATATCGTTCTTGCTTCTACAAAGTCTTCCTATTGAATAAGTCCTAAAGATTGTCTTGGAAACAATTCAATTCCCGACACTCCTGACATCACTTAGGTGGATCCAAAAAAGTAACAAAGCTGGAGCAAGTACGGCAAGGAACTTAAAGTCAGATACTTATAATGTAAGCAAAACAAATATATCATGTTTAAAACAGACATAATTGTCGTCTCTCTTTCTAAATAACAATGCAATAAAAATATTCTGCTTTAGGTATTCGTTTCCTAATTACTCTTTTAGCGATAGGTACCTACATATGTGTGTATGTAACAAATAATCCGCTAAGAAATGTACAGCAATATTCCATAGTTAAATTATTTCACAATGTGTCAAGGATCACCAACGCTGATCCTTTGTTACGATTTTACAATTGAGGAATTACGTTTCTTTAGCATGAGGAAGATGTGTAATAGGTAGAAATTTAATGTGTTAATTGTATTGAAAACAATACTTTTTCTAAATCCAACAATAGCACAAATTCTCCTTCCAAGAATAACAGGTAAAAGATTACAGCCATCGGTCATCTTTGACCCTTAGTTAATATACCAAGTAAGTTACTGCGGAAACAGAAATTATAAAAATTCCAACGATAATTTCCATTTATTTGAAATTTTTGAGGTAAATTGATTTCATGCTGTATTGGTGATAAGAAATCGTGAATAAGTATTTTCGTCGGATGACTATGGAGACACCCATCCATAGTTTTTTAAGGAATGGCGATATTAATCCCAACATGATGATAATATAATAATAATAATAATAATAATAATAATTATTATAATAATAATAATAATAATAATAATAATAATAATAATTATAAAAATAATAATAATAATAATAATAATTATTATAAAAATAATAATAACTGTAATAATAGTAATAATAGTAATAATAATAATAATAATAATAATAATAATAATAATAATAATAATAATAATAATAATAATAATAATAATAATAATAATAATAATAATAATAATAATAATAATAATAATAATAATAATAATAATAATAATAATAATAATAATAATAATAATAATAATAATAATAATAATAATAATAGTTATAATAGTAATTAATAATAATATTGAATGAAAAATGTTAATTTTTCTTAATTACCATCGGAAAACCAGCCATCTAAGTTAAACATTATAAACTCTTGTTTTTTTTAGAAATCCACTCCAGTCTTACATACGTGTTTTAAAGGAACCTCAAAATAAACTGATTTATGGATTATTAGGAAAAAGAAATCGGCTCTACACTTTCCTGGAAAGCATAAGGTCCCCACTATCCCCCCTGTATGACTGTAAAATATGTATGACTGTAATAATCATGGAACGAACAAGGAAGGGCCTTTTTACAGCAAGAATTCCATAAAAAATTGGTTACTAATTCCATTATCACGTCGTTCGTTTTGTATTCCTGGAAGGTCTAATAACATGGGCTGAAGTGCACAATCTCAAAGGAAATCGGCCCTACACTTTCCTGAAAAGCATAAGGTCGCCCTATCTCCCTCAATCAGAACCGAAATCGTGGTAGATTTTATCACTATAACAAGGTTCACATAAATGAGCGGGGTTGCCGAATCCCTAGAGAAGAACACTTGTTGTGCCACAACCCAATTCCTCTCAAGGGAAAACTTAGGCTAATGCCATTACGATCTGAATTTCTTCTCTGATGTGGAACCTAACCTAGATTAAAGGTAATGTATAGTCTTGTCAATTTTAATTTTCCTTTCAAAATCAGGCACTATGCCGAGTACCACGTCCCAGCTGCCATTAGTATTTCCTGAATGTGATCCAAATTTCCAGCACTTGGATCTTTGGGAATATTTTCAAGCACTAAGGTTAAGTGAGTCGTGGTCATGGTTATGTTTACATGTGGGGCAAGTGAGTCCCAATATTTTATTGATTCGGCGATTTACGCCAGCCTATTTCAGGACGACCTGTAATCCAAGATGAGTTAAAGCACTAATTCAGGCGTCTTTGGCAACGTTTCTCTAAAAGACATTATAGCTGCATATACGGTAGACTGTCATATGGCCGGCAATCTGCGAAAGAAGTACCAGCTCCCATCAATCTAAGAATCGCAGTGGGCATTTTGCCACGGTCACTGCAGTATAAAATATCTGATCTCAAGATAGGATACCAGTGGTCCTGACTACTGTAGACCATGTGAGGACGAGAAGATTTAAAGCCGATTCAATGTCTACTATGCAGGTTTCCAATGCTCTTAAATAGGAGACATTGGCCGTTTGGTAGTTGGGTAACAGAAACACTAATGTTCTCCTCAGATATAGATCCCATCATCATCCATGGTTTGCTAAACTTTCTTTTTACCAGATCTTTTCATCCCTTGTTTCTTCCTTCCTCAATTGATGTATATTTTTCCTATCACTACTAATTTGTCCTAGGATGAACACAAAACAAGTGAAACAGCAGTCGACTCCAGTATGGCTGTGAAGTAAACGCCTGATGAATTGCTTTCTGCCAATCAATCAGACTGCCAAACTGTTAAAAACGGGCTATAATGTATCTAGGGTATTAACGAGGTATTAACTTTGTAACTAGTACGATCGGTATTATTTCTGGTCACAGAGCAGGAGAAGCTCTGTGTCAATTTTCGTTTCATTACTTTTACAGACCCTTTGATTGAGGCCACAAAACATTGACCTGGCAACTTTAAACCATTTAGGTACTTTGTTCTAGTGACCTAATACCTTTAAGCACAACCAAGATTGGCTGTTATATCTCTTTTGTTATCAGACCCAGGGTGTTCGGAATATTATCTTATCACTTATTTGATTAGAGGTTTCTTCACCTAATGTGTTATTGGTCATTTATGAAAGGAAATAAGCTCTTCTATTCTACCAAAATTTTATTTTAATGTTAACTCTAAGATCTTGCCTAGGTTAAAGAAAACATGTAGCTTCGTGTAAGGCAGCTAGTGGTGTATGTCTCAAGCCTTAAGCTCAGAGGATAGTTTCTGTGGCAATTTGAGGGCATAAAGTTCCTTTAGGTAAGCCAGGTGAGAGCATAACTTATTCTGGAAAAATTTATACTACCTAAGAGAATCTTACAAAAACCGAACTAGAACCAGTTCTTCAAAGCTTATGGAGGGACCTATTATGTGCTCCGAAACAGTTAAAAAATATAGTGGGAAAGGTATTTTCATAAGCTTGCAAACGATACCTATATTATTAAAAAAAACACGCTCGGTAAAACCGTTTCTAACCCGAGCGTTTTACACAAACTCTAGAGCGTTGTAAACAAACTCTAGAGTTCCATAATTTGGACAATAAACACTTTAGCTCAAATTGATAACTCATGTTTACATTTTGTGATACTTGTTCCATTCAAATCAGATTTCCTGCAATTTTATAAATGTTTGTTTAAAAAAACTCACCGACTCTTCCTCTTTTTCCATGCCACTTGGCATTTGTGGTACCGCTCGATTTATAGCTGAATATTCTGGCAAATCCGGTAGCTCCTCGGCCAAATAAATGGGCATTTGTTTGGATGGATCGAGGGCACGAGCCCTAAATGATAATTTCGACATGATGATGTTTGTCTGATGCTTGATGAGATAGACGATTGATTGATGGATGTGTTGCTTTTTTAGACGACAAACTTCTTCCTTGTTTAGACCTTTTTGTTTTCCTTTTTGCGTTTTTTTCTTTTTCTTTTGATTGTTACAAACTAAATTTGGCTTTGTGTTGTTTATTAGTTTTAAAGTTTTCGAGTTTTATAAAAAAAATCAAAAACAACAAAATTTGAATTTTATTCTATTTCCTTGTTGAAGTATTAGGTAGTTGTTGCTGGTGTCTTAGGAAGGTGCTGCTAACTAATGCTGATGATTATGTGGAGGCAAGAAAAGGAGTCGCTCGAGGAGTCTGGCTTTGTTGTTGTTTACAAAAAATTTCTAACAATCCAAATATTTCAAACTGCCTTTTCTTTAGATTTATCGGGTTAATCTGCTTAGATGATGATTGGTTTGAAAATAATGCAGCTGGGGATAATTTAAATGAAACGAGTGTATATCCTGTTGGAGGGGACTGTAAAATAGCTTGGAGGAGCTTTTTCTGCCAAGCGATGACGATGATAAGGGATATCTTGACGCCACCGATGATGCACTTGACTTGTGTGGATGATAAGATGTATGGGTTAATTCAGATTTTAAAGCAGCACTGCTGCTTGGCAGAAGTGTGTGATTTAAATTACACAAATGAGGATCTCTTGCCGCCAATGGGGATGTTCTTGAAGGGGACCAGCAGTCTGTGTAGTCCAATAACAACGATACTGCTGTTGTTGCTGTGGTTACTCCTCGTGCTTGTCGATGAAGTAGAACCTTTCTTAAAAGATAGTAGATGAAAACTACAATTCCAAATTCTTGTTTTTGTTGTTGTAGTTTTTGTATAGTATTACTATTAATACTACTACTAGTGGATGAGGATTTTGGAATTTCCAATTCCTTGCAAACAATGTAATACGTTTGCAAAGTACTATTATCCTGCTGATGTTGCGGCTGCTCGTAGTAGCCAGGTAATCGAGAGAAGATCTTGCTGCTGATATCCTCTCTTCTTGTGTTTGTGTTTGTTGTTGTCGTTGAGTTTGTTTTAAACGTCTTCGCCGTCTTTGTTGGCGTCGTCGTCGTTGTTGTTGTTGGTTGTGTTGTGGCGGTTCCTGTTACCAACCTTTTGTTATTGTTCGTCGTAGCTGTTGATGTTGTTGTTTTTGCTTTGCTTGCGGATGACGAATGTATCACTCCAAATGCCGGTTCAATGTCTCTTTCCTCAACACTCGATGACGATGTTATTGTTGTTGTTATATTTTTTGTTTTAGTATATCTTTTGTTTTGGGGAATTTCTGTTGTTTTTATATTTGTTGTTGCTGCTGCTGTTTTAGTTGCTGACAATGCTGTTTCTTTTCTAGTAGAGATCAGCAATGGTACCACAATGAAGAACAACAATAATTGCTGTTGTTCTATTTGTTGTTGCTGCTGTTGTTGTTTTTGGTTACAGTTGTTGTTGTTGCAGTTGTTATTTTGTTTATTTAACACGTTCTTGTTGTTGGTGTTGTTGTGGTTCGTCGTTAACAATTTATGCTGCTGCTGGCGCTGCTGTTGATGATTTATATGACAACTACTACGATTTTTTTGCAATGAAAGCAACAATAACAAATCGTGCGGGCTATATGACGACGACATTTTTCAAATTGAAATCGAAAAACCTAAATAAATTTGCATAATTACAACAATGTTGAGTGGAGTGGCGATCGTTAACATTTGTATACATTTCATATTTCATTTAAAGAATGACGGCGCAGCAACATTTAGTGGCAGCAACAGCTCTCCGGCAGCAACGTTGACGACGACAGCAACGTAAGCGTCGACAACAGAAACATTAAACGGCATTTTTTATGCAAAACATGATACCGTGCCGTCGTTTTGTGTTGTTTGTCTTGTAATGTTGTTGTCGTTCTTGTTGTTGGTTGGTTTACGTGTGTTCTTTTTTCTTTTACTTTGTTTCTGTTTTCTGTTTGTAATTGATATTGTAAACTAGAATTCTTTTGTTTTCACAACGCGAGTCTTATTTATTTTATATATTTCTCTTGGTATTCTTGGGCTTTTTATTTATTTTTTGCTTCTTATACTTTTTTTGCCCTTTTATTCCAATTCTTTTTAAGCAAATTCAATAATTCTTTTTATATTATTTCTCTGTTTATTCTATTCTATGTTGTATTTTGGTGACAGCCACGCTATGTTTGTTATCTGTCAAAATGGAAAGAAGAAAAAAATGCACATTTATTAACTGCTGAAAATGTGGTGGTGTTTTAAAATGCACTTCGTAAGGGAGAGTGAGCGGCGGGAGAGCATTAAAATGACCATTGACTCATGAGAGGAGTCGAAATGGCGCGCACAATAAACAATCACAAAAATACCATTATTTTCTTTTTAAATTAAATTCATTTTCAATCCTATTATTTATTTACAATTTTCCATCGACACTCTAAACTTTTCTTTAATTAAATCAATTTTTTATTTATACCGGACGGACGAATATGTTTCTGTTCTTCACATTGCCCCGCGCTCTGCTTAAGTAAACAAAAACTTCTGTGGCAGCGACAGCGACAAGACAGAAACCAAGCGGCGAATTTCACTTCATACACAAACATTTATAGCGGCGAAATGACACGACTTTTTTCTCGGCTCGTTTTTTCTTTTTTGCATGGACAACACAATGCAAAATCTCGTTTTTTCAAGCCACCGATACAGCTTAGATTTTCATTATTTTCACCCAAAAGCTATTGAATTATATGCGGAAAAGTATTATCCACTTTTTTGCACAATTATTTACCGCTTTTGATATCCAAAAAATAATTAATAAACCAAAAATAATTCGTGAGAAAAAATGTTTGGAGATAGCGTGGTTTTATTAAAGCTGAAAACGAACTGAAAACGAAAAAAGAATGAAGAGAGAAACAAATGCCACAAACTAGAAAAGGACAACGATATATTTACAACGGATGTGGTTAACCGGTTACCCGTACCCATTGCATAGGTTTGTCTCACATTTTCGACTCCGAACACTCATTCCGAAAACACATACACATACATTTGCGCGCGCATTTTCCTTTCGTACCTTCGCTCAACCAACAGACCATATTCGACATATATTGCTATCTCTCTTGCTCGCTCACCCTTTATTCAGTTGCTCAGAAGAAAAAAAAGAGAACAAGCTACACAACACCGCACAACAAACGATGGTCTTTTTTCGTTTACCACACCACCACCACCATCTACGACACAAAAAAGACGAGCGATAGAAAAAAATTTCAACGAAAAAATCGATTCTTCTCAAATGCCATGATTTTCATACTTTTTTCACATGGATTTTTTACATTTAAAACACTTGTTATTCCATCATTTCATATGAAATTTAATGAATTGGCCTCTTCGTGCCTCATTTTCTGTAGATTTCTTTGTAATTTCTATAAATTTTGCGTAGAAATTCTTTATTTAATTGTGCAACGACACGCGAGTTTTTAGGGACACGTTTTGTAATGGCGGCGGAGTACGAAGAAACACGAACGTACCCAGCAAATCGGTGATGACAAACAAAAATATTTTTTCGGAGTCAACAAAACTCACAAAATAATTAGAAATTACAAACACACGGCATATTAAGGAAAACATTTAATGATTTGCCATGTCAGTCACATCAAAATGTAGGGAAAATTCTAAAGATTCTAATAGTTGCAATGAAGCAACGGTTGGAAATTGTTTAATCTAAGAAATTTCGTAAAATTCATGGCAAATTTGCTTTAATGTTATTTCATAATATTCGACATCGAATGGTATGTAAACACAGAGTTGTATTCCGCTTGACAAATGCAGCCTAACATTGGAGGACAACAGAGCCAGATGCAAAAGTGCAACGCGTTAGTCGTCAATCGAATATATTTAAAACGTAGAATAATTAAATATATATATATAAAAAGCCTAGGAAGAATTTTACTTACTACAATAAATATCATGGTAAATTATAAGTATAAGTTAATATCGTACCAATATATGACATATATTAATTCCTGATACAATCATTACAAGGTAGGACAGGACATTTGAAGAACAAGACTCGAAACTAGGGTCTTGCAATTTCAAAATTTACTAGTAAACATGGTGGAAGAATATAGGTCAAAAATTTTTTAATGTTTTTTCTAAATTAAGTAGGTTTTTACCATGGTACAATGAAGAGAAGGTAGGTCAACTTTGAAAAAATTGCAAGTATAGAGGTCTACCTGTTTGGCTTGTAATGTCAGAATTAGTATCAAAACAATAAAAAATCAAACAACTTGTTGCATTTATTTTGAATAAATAATTGAAAACCGCGATAACTGAAGGAAAGGTCAACACTTCTTCTTCAAAATCATGTACTATATGTCTCTAAAGGATTATTTCGCTACAAAACTCTAGATTTTGTCGATGCATGCGTTGAAATGAACATTTTGAAAACACCCGAATTTGAATGTTTTCTGAACAATTTTTTTGTTATTGAAAAGAAAACACATACATAAACAAAAAAAGATGACGTATTAGGCCAAGAAAATAAAAAAATTGAAATCATATGGTAGTTCTGCCCTACCTTGATATCATTGTACCATGTATAAAACCAAGAAAATAAAAAAATTGAAATCATATGGTATCATAGCCCTACCTTGATATCATTGTACCATGGTTCCCATCACTGATTTATTTAAATACAATGAGATGTTACATACTGCCTGTCGTGACCTTCTTAATTTTACCATTGTTTAAATTTTCCAGGGGTAGATATTTTACACTAATTAAGGGGGCATGTTTTTGGGAGGCTGTTCCGAGGGACTGTCTTTTATTGGGACTTTTATTTAATTTTGGAGAATTCCCTTTCTTGTCTTTTACGTTTCTTGACAAATGGAAATTCCGCAATCTCTTTCCCATGATAAAATTAAGAAGGTAAAGCCATTTTAAATAAGCATACCCATCTCTGCATTTTCTGTAATTTACCTTGTCACATTTCACTACCTAAAAACAGGTTCCCATCTGTGATTTGTGTATGTACAATCGATTTATAAATACAAATTTTGACAATGAGATGTTTTTAAATGAATAATTTTTGAAAAATTTGTAAACATATTTGTAGACATATTGCATGATGTTACCTCCTTGATTCTACCATGCTCTTTCCTTTGTTCAGCGCAAGGTAGATGTACTAGGTAATCGCATCAGCCCAGCTGACGGCACCATTAAATGTCAATTGTTGTAATGGTGAATTCGCCCTAAATGAATGCAACAACAAATTTGTTTATGTTTTCTTCCCTAAAAGTTCCTTTTTATAATATTTCAAATAATTTAAGAGCAAGTTTAGAGTGAAACCAGTAGAAAAATTAAAAGAAAATGAAAAAGTACTCGATTTGCAATAAGAAATATTGTGATGGAAATTTAACACTATTTAGTGTTCCTAAAGATGAAGGAAGGAGGTTAGAATGGAGTGCAGATTGAGGAATTAAGTTAGCCCCAACATCTAAGATTTGTGTGGACCATTTTAATCCAAAGCACATCACGGGAAGTAGTGCAAGAATTCGACTCCAATGAATTCTATCCAATTTTTTTGCGATTCTGTTACTGGATATTATGTTGTTGGCTATTGGCCAAATTATTGAGATTTTAGTTGTGTTCCAGTACTTTTTTACTAGTAAAACTAGCAGAAGAGAGAACAGCACGAAATGTCATTTTCGTTTAGGTGTGCTCAAAAAATAAGGGAACGGAAAATTAGCAGAAATGCGATAAAATGTCAAAATTCCAAAAGAAAACAGTCTAAATCGGACTGGTGAAACCTTACTGAAATGGACGCCAAAATTTAAAAAAATGGGTATTGAAAATAAGTTAAAATTAACAAATATTTTTGAATGCTGTTTATTTAGAAAGTTTTGTTTTCAGAATGCGTTGAAGAGTCGGAGCCGGAGCAGCTAACATCATTGGAGCCGCCGGTTTAGTTAATGTTAAATCTGCTAGAAGACTTAATGCCACAAGTTGGGAAGACTACCAACCTAAAAAATAAAAAGAAAATGTTCGTAGTAATAAGCGAAAATCTTTGATTTTAAGCTTAATTTTTCGAAAAGTGAATACATCAGTTGCTCCATATTTTCTGCTCGGCCAAATTCATGTAGCTAAAACAAGCAGAAATGTGCACCACTCAGCGCCATTTTTTTCTCGAGAGAGCTGCAAGTTTTGCTAGTTTTTGGAGTACGGGAACGCGTTGAAGCAGAATTAGCACTAATTAGTACAAATTTGTAGGTTCTGGAACACAACTTTTGATATTCATATCCTGCTGTTGCTGCTATTGAATATGTGGTGAATGTATGGTCATATGCTTTGGAGTGTTGGTACCCTGATTTTGCATAGAAAACGATATTGGTGCTATGTTTTTTTTTTCTTTAAAATCATTTTTTCTATATTTTCTATTGAATATAAATTGCGACGTTCGTTTACGACGAGAGGCACACAAAATAAAATGAAAACAAACACCTCGTTTCTGATTGGTTGAAACAAATTTGCCGCAACCTTTAAATGTCATGGCGAATCTATGTTTTTCGCCTTTGATGCCAATTTTGACATTTGAGGGTACCACAAAAGTTGCTTTGTTGTAGCAATTCGCCAATGCGGTTACCTGTTAGATCTACTTTGGTTCAGCGAATATAGAAATTCCTATGTTTCGCCGTACTTCCATAACTATAGTACCCTACAATCCCAGCTGATTGCATTTCCTCATGTATAGTTCGTAAACAAGAAACGAGCATTTCGGTCTTTATTCATCAATCTCATTCGTAAACTTTGCCATTTGGTTTTGTGTTTATTTTTATCAGGCGTTCTTTTTTGTCGGACTGCTTTGCATGGTTTGGAACGTTAACGTTTACATCTCCCCGAAGAAAAGCAAAAAATAATACTTTTCGCAGACTATTTGCCAATTTAAATATGTACCCTCTAAGTTCTCAAAAGAAATACTGGACTTTCTCAAGTCCAGAACAGCTAAACGACTTACGATTGAAAAGAAATCAAAAGTTCATTGAAACTCATGGATCACATATGGATGTAAGTGATGTGGAGCATGCCGAAACCAAGTGCTATTCATTTATTGTTTTTATTCGACTAGGATCAACAACGCATGGAATTCTTTTTGGATGCCAATGAGGAACATTTGCTTCTGAAACAATATGAAATCTATCTGAATGATTTTTGTCGACGTTTCGAACCCATGATGCCTAAGTGTGTGGTTGGAACGGCCATACATTATTTCAAACGTTTCTTTTTGCACAATTCACCCATGGATTATCATCCCAAGGAAATTTTGTAAGTTATGTGAGGAATAGTAAGAAATTTTTGTAATTTTTATGAGCCAACTTTTTAGAGCCACATGTGTTTACTTGGCCTGCAAAGTGGAGGAATTCAATGTTTCCATTGGCCAGTTTGTTAGCAACATCAAAGGCGATCGAAACAAAGCCATGGATATTATTTTGTCCAATGAATTGTTGCTCATGCAACATCTCAACTATTACTTGACAATACACAATCCCTATAGGCCGGTTGAGGGATTTTTGATTGATATAAAGGTAAGTGAAGAGGAATTAGTAGAACTCTTAACGATTAAAATGCTGTTGTAATTTCATAGACCCGCAGTTCCATGGTGAATCCAGAACGTTTACGCCCCCACATTGACAGTTTTATAGAGAAGACATTTTTCACAGATGCCTGCCTTTTGTATGCCCCATCACAGATTGCCTTGGCTGCTGTTTTACATGCCGCCGGTAGAGAACAGGAAAATTTGGACAGTTATGTCACTGACAACCTGTTGAATGGTGCCAGAGAAAAATTGCCTGCCCTAATTGAAGCTATTCGAAGTGAGTTGAGATGATTTAGTTTTTAAAACACAATGCATTAATATTGCCGTCTTTAAGAAATTCGCATTATGGTGAAGCAGTATGAAGTACCACTCCGAGACCGGGTAAAATTAATCGAAAAGAAATTGGAGAAATGCCGAAATCAGGAAAACAATCCGGATAGTGAAATGTATGTATAAGGAAGATGTAAAAGATTGGAATTATTATACTGAGCCATTTTGCGATTTTATATTTCAGTTACAAAGAACGTATGCGTAAAATGTATTGTGATGATGACTTGGAAGTGGCCGAAGACAACTCTTATTATATAGCCGATTCCAGTGCGGATATGTCCGCTTTAAATATGAGCCAATAAGATAATTTTGTACTTGTTTTCTATTGTACGTCTCATTATATTTTATATGAATAAATGTGTTATTTTTAAAATTTAATAGTTGTGTGACTATTTTTATTTTTTGTAGATAAAATTTGAATTACGAAAATTTAACTTAGAATGATTTATTTAAATATTTTGTAGAGGGAAACATAATTCACCAGATTAGAAATCTTGTCTGATGATTCCCATTTCCACCACGGTGACTAATCGCAAAAATATCGCATTTGTGACGTTTGAGTTTTTATACCCTTCACCATAAATATTCGTCGTAGACCCCATAAAGTATAAATATTCATGATTGGCATAAAATTCTAAGTCGATTCAACGATGTCCGTCTATCTGTTGAAATCACTATACAGTCCATATTATTCAACGTAGAGCTTCAAAATTTGACAGAACAATTTGTATTATGTCTAGGATGGTTGGTATTGCTTTATATCTCATATCGTTCCATAGCCGCCATATAACGGTAACTCCCGATATTCGATATTTCGATGATTTTAGCGACATTATTCATCGGAATTTTTTAAAATTTGGTATTTGAAGTTCGTAACGGATACTACAGCCTGTGACAGTGCGGGTCCACGTCTTCGTATAGCCCTCATACAACGGTACCTCCGATATTCGGTATTTTGATGAATTTAACGACATTATTCACCGAAATTGTTTCAAATTTGGTATTTGAAGTTCGTAATGGATGCTTCAGCCTATGACAGGAGATTGTCTGTGCAGATCCCCGTCTTCGTATAGCCCCCATATAATGGTACCTCCCGATATTCGGTACTTTGTTGATTTTAGCGATATTATTCCCCGGAATTGTTTCAAATTTGGTATTTGAATATCGTAATAAATACTACAGCCTATGACAGAAAATTTTCTGTGCAGGTCCATATCTTCGTGTAGCCCCCATATAACCGTTCCTCCCGATATTCGGTATTTTGATGATTTAAACGACATTATTACCGATTTTTTTTCAAGTTTCGCATTTGAATATTGAAATGGCTTATGACAATTGTTACCTATGCAGGTCCCCGACGTCGTATAGAACCTAATATAACAGCTACATTCGGCATTTTTAAGATATTAACAGTATTTTTAACGGATTTTATTGTTTTTGAGAATTGCCAAATTCGTTCCAAATGGTGGAGGGTATTCAAAGTTCGGCCCGGCCGAAATTACAGCTTTTTTACTTGTTAAGTATATGATCCTACAAGTTTTAAGACCATTTGGCCGATATTGATTTTTCATTGTTGTCATCTCATTTTGAAAATACCTGCTCATAGTCCTGGTGCAATATATTCTAATAATACTCTTGATGTATATGTGTAAATGATTTAAGTTTGTAAATATTACAGTATATCGTATTTAGAAAACTCAACTGATTTCATGGTAGAAGAATACAAAGATTTATATATGTTTTCCTATACGACGCCAATCGGAGGTTATTATGATATGCATTTTTTTAAATAATTTTTACAATTTTGAATCAATTCAACAATTTCTATTCAAAAATTGGTTTGAGAGTTCATTGACCCAGCAACTGTGTCGATGCGACTACCCGTATTCTTCTACCATGTGTAAACAAGTATGTATCCATGGTAGAAGAATATAGGTAGATACTTCGACATAGCTGCTGGAACAATGAAATTGTTGAATGAAAAATTACTCAAATTTGTAAATATTGTTAAAAAATGCATTATATACGATTGGCCTCGTGTAGAAAAACATATACAAATATACTTATTTTTGAAGAAATATTTAAAAAAAATTGACATACCAATGTTCCCAAGCGCTGATGCATCTACCTGTATTTTTCTACCATGTATGTATCTAAGTACACAAGGTGCTAATTTTCAATAGTATAAACACTGTATTACAATCAAACGTGGATAACGACTTTTACGTCCTATGCCTCTTCGAATTTCTTGATTTAAGTTTTGTACCTTTTAAAATAGTAAAATGAATTTGTACTTACCTCAACATTCTCATACGCAATATGTATGTATATAATGAATTTAAATAATTAAAACCAATTTTTTTCAATCATTATTCTTTCACATATCATTTTCTTTATTATTTATGTATATATTTATATGTATGTAAGTATGTATTGTAACAATATTTTTATTTTCATACTGATAAGATAAATTATTCGTAATAAGTTTAGAATACTTTCAAATAGCAAGAATGTTATGTTTTTGTTTTGCTGTACTAATAGTTTTCCTTCAATAAAAAAGCTTTTCTTATTTCAATTTTTTCAATTTCAAAACTTAACAGATCATTAACATTCTGTATTCCTTGTTTTTTGATTGTAATTTAATTAAGGATAATTGGGAATATGAAATGTTTTACATTTGCATTTCTCTTCTTTTTATAATGATTGCAATACATATATGGTTGTTACTTTTAAGTTGTTGTTTTATTATTTTGTAATGTCTGTTTGCATAGAAATAATAGATATTAGATGACTTTGTCATTGTTTTTTTTTTATGCGCTATAATAACAATTACACAACATGACTTTTTAGTATACTAAAAAAAAGACATTTTTTGTTTTATTCCCATAAATGTTATTTAATTGTTTTTTTATAAAATAAAATAATAATTTATAAAAAATAGATTAATTGGAAGCAAAGTAACCTATTCATAACTAAATTTTGTTAAATTACATTAAATTTCCCATTCTTTTCCTTCTTCAAAGTTTATTTAGTAATATATTTTGACCAATTCAAAAAGGATTCCTATCCATTGTATGGGTCATTAAGACAAAATATCATTCAAAATTGATTGACAAGATGTGTTGATAAACTTATAGACGGTTTACAAACAAAGTCTTTGGGCGTTTTAACCGAGACAATTGCCCAATCACAATAAATTTAATGTAGATTAAATTTGTTGTGATTGGTTAATTATCAGGATTAACCCGCATAAATATGTGTATGTGAACGTATTTTATGTAGCTTTTTGAAAAATATCTGACATTTTTTCTTCAGCAATATTTCAAATGCCCAATTTGAGCTTAAAAAGTGTTTAATATAAACATGTAAGGTGTAAACACAACCTCATATTGTTTGTATAATACATTTCTACTACGTTCACATGTGCAATGTCAATTACCTCATTCAACCTCTTAATAATTGATTGCGAGATCTCAATTAGTTATTGCTCATTTATATGACTCATACAACATCCATTGGATTCTATAGATCCTGCACAAATCTCACACTATTTATATAGAAAAAAATCTTTACAAGGATTTTCCCTTACAAGCGACCAATCACAATAAATGTTACGTACGTTTCGCATAATCAAGTTTACTGTGATTAAATATTTATTATTTTTTTCTTATTCCATGGTGTTAGAATACAGGTAGTCGCATCGACAGAGCTGATGGGACTATGAACTGTCAAACCCATTTTGAAATCAAAAATTTTGAATGAAAAATCATTCAAATTTGTAAAAATTGTTGAAAAATGTGTATCATAACAACATCCGATTGACCTCGTATAAGAAAACATATAAAAATCTATTTATATTTGAAAAATGGCGAAAAAAATTTTAAAAATTTTGACATTTCAATAGTCTCAAGTGTTGATATAGGCAGTCGCATCGACACAGCTGCTGGGACAATGAACTGTCAAACCAATTTTAAAATTGAAAATTTTGAATGAAAAATGATTAAAATGTGTAAAAATTGTTGAAAAATTCATATCATAACAACCTCCGATTGACCTCGTATAACAAAACATATAAAAATCTACTTATTTAAAATAAAAACATTTTAAAAATCTTGACATATCAATGTTCTCAAGTGTTGATGCATCTACCTTTACCCTGGTCTTATTATATCCTGATCGGAGATAAAAATCCATGTAACCTTTGCAATATACTTGACTTTGCAATATATGACTGAGTGTTTAATCATGGCAGAAGAATACAGGTAGATGCATCAACGCTTGGGAGCATTGATATGTCAAAAAAATTTAAATGTTTTTTTAGATATAAGTGGATTTTTATATATTTTCTTATACTACGTCATACGGAGGCTATTATAATTCGCGTTTTTCAACAATTTTTACAAATTTAAATAATTTTTCATTCAACATTTTCAATTCCAAAATTGGTTTGACAGTTCATTGTCCCAGCAGCTGTGTCGACGCGTCTACCTATATTCTTCTACCATGGTGTTTAATAGTGCAAACTAAAATCTTTTAGTATGTTTACATTTCAGTCGGGTCTAGTACAATGTAAACACACCATTAAATAACGTTTGCTTCTTTTTTCATCCGAGCCATGCCGTTTTTTATCTTTCGTTTAGTGATTCCATTCACAATTAGTGTTCTGCTCATACGAGCAAGGAGATCAATAATGCTTTTATTTAAGGGATTAACAGTTTTTTATGACTGACATTAATCCTCATCGATATCAAAATAGTTATGATTTTTCTGATCTGATGATTTCTGATCTATAGCCTAATTTACACCAAACATACATTCGTAACCGCGTTAATTAGGCTTTTGAGAGAGAAATTCGTCATAAAATGATCCATTATAGGGGAATTATATTTTTTTAGTAAATGGTTTTATATCCTTCAAAATCAATGTATATACTACAAATGTGGTCATTGAACTGTAATTAACACCGTTTACATGCCTGTGTTTTTCATATCCATTGTTTTTATGGTATTTTGTAACTTTTAGCAATAGTAATTCTTTCCTGACATATTTTAATTCTAAATAATAAATCGTTGAATTCGTTTAGGTACAAAACTCTTTCGAGATAGCCGAGAGGATTTAGTATGCTAAACCTGCTCATGGCATGACACAATTAAATTAAGGTATCCTCATTTCAAATAATACTCATTGCTCAATTAGAAAGGTTGCTCAACTTCCAAGAAACAAGGAAAATGCAACTCTGTACAGGAGTCTTTTGTCTCAAATATATTTTTAAACATTACATTTATATTGCATCTAAGTTTGACGTAATTTAAAATTATTATCTTTTTAATTCAAAACAATACATACACGTATACAAACTGTGTATATGTCTTGACATAATAGGGGCACCAAAAGAAATTAATGTATTTAGGGGGTAGCTTTTTTCTACCTTCTGTAATTGTGTCATGATAATAATATACAGCTCTGCATTTTTCTGTAGTATGTCAAATTTAATTTCATTGAAAGAAAAAATAAACATTTTGACAATGAGATTTTGCTAAATGTACAATTTTGAAACAATTGCAAATATATGATGCATGACGTTACCTTCTTTATTATATCAGGAATATTTGTATCAGCGTAAAGCAGGCTTTATGACTGTAAACACGTTTTACTTAGGCTATGTTTACATCAAACACATTTATGTTGACAATTTCAATTAATATATGGCAAAAATGATCGATGTAAACATAGTTTAACAATTCTTGGTGTCTCTTGTTTCTTGTAAATAAGAAAAGCGACTAGTCTGCGATTAAGATGTTACTAGGGAGATTTTGTTCAGAACAAGATATTTTTTAGTAAATAATTTGAAACTTTGTTGTATATTATTATTAACCCCAAGTTTACACAGTACAAATTGTATCAGAATCAGAGTTGTATTTTACTACAACATACATAGTGGGGTAATTGTTTTTTCTTACCATCCATTACTTTTCAAAGCTAGTAAATGCTAACAGTTTTCGACATTGCAAAGCAATTATAAAGGAAGACAATCGAAATTGGCTAAAGAAGGATGAAAAAATGTTGAAAGAAACAAAGTAAAAATTTAAAGTTAAACAGCTGGATTTTGAAATGTTCACTTTGTGTTTTATGATTTTATTTTTGCAACGGACTGCATTAACCTCTAAAAATTAATGACTGGATAAATAGTATTGGAAAAGAATACAGTAAAAACTAACGCCGACAACATTAATTAACCCTGCGTTTTCTTTCTTTCAAAAAATGGGAAATATCATTCAATATAAACTGTATGTAAAATCAAGAGAAACACAAATAATTTCGATAATCCTTTTTTCATAATAATTTGAAATTTTAATCCAATTTTAAGTTAACATAATTTAAACTTACATTTAAGTTATTTTCTAATAAAAAAAAATTAAAAATACAATGTTATAAATTAGTATAATTTGTTGTAAACAAATTTATGAAAAGCATTTCTTTTTTTTTTTTTTTTTAATTTTTCATAGTTTAAAAATAACTTAATTCTATTTTTTTAATTATAATATCAATTTTCTTTTAAGGTACATGAAGAATAAATTTATAATTTTATATAGTTTGTTTTTTTTTAGAAAAAGTTTTTTTTTGCTTAAAAATTAATTTTATTATTTTATTTTCGAAAATGCTGCTGTTGTGTGTGGTTGTTCTGTTGTTGTTTTATATGTTTTGAAAATAAAATAAGCTTTTATTTTTGTTTTCTTGTTTCGATTGGAACAAAAAGTTGTTTTTTTTTTTGGGGGGGAGAGAAGAGACTCAAAATCCTTGTAGTTGTTGCAGATGGGACAAAAAAGCTTTAAGCGACACTTGATAATCGTTAACCGCCTCTTTATGATTTGTAGACTTTTGTGTGTGTATTTGATTGCTTTAAATAGCGTTACTGTCGGTGTATTTAAAAATGATTTTAACAAACTATGTTGTTTATGTCTTGTTCCAAGAATTTGTAACCATAAAAAACATATGTTTTGTCAAATTCATTTTTAAATCTCTGTTTAATAGATATTTATATATTTGTATTAAAACGTTTTGGTGGAAGCTTTCAACAATCGGGACGTAAAGCTTTTCAGTTTGTTGGCCGGTAGCTGGGTTGATTGATTTTTATTTTGTTCTTATTATAGGGAAAGGACTTGATTTTTTTTTTTCGTTTCGTTTGGTGCGATTTGGTGGTACATGATGAAAAAATTTGTATCAGACCACTGGTATCGTATGTGAAAAAGCACTTTTGTTAATTTCTTTCATTGAATTTTTATTGCTTGAAAAAAAAACAATAGAAAGAAATCGTGACAGCTCATCGTCAAGTGGTACTGTAGTTTGTAGTTCGTATTAGTAAATCTATATTAAGGGTGTTGTGATTGGCGATTAGGTGTTAGTAGTCGTTTATCGATCCTTTGGTTTCGAAAACTATCAAAGTACGGTCCCACTTGTGATGGCATTTCGTTTCAATGGTTTCTCATAAGCTTTGCGTACTTTTTTTATTGTTCTTTATATTTGGGAGGGAATGATAAAAAAATTATAACAACGAAAATTGTTTAAGAGAAGATATGCTGTTTTAGTTGCCAATGTAAAGATAAATATTATTTATAGACATGCCGCAAGGTTTTCGTTTTATTTTTACAACTGTGTGAACCAGTTATTACATTCAATTATCATATGCAACATCGTATGAACAATATTATATTTTCCTTGGTATGTGTAAAAATGGCCATATAATACGTTAAGAGGCCGTTTTTACACCCCCGCTTTACATTGGCAATTAATTGAGTCTTGTACTAAAGAGTCACCTTACTAATTGTTAATAGAGAGAGTTAAAGGATAGAAATGTGATGTGATGACAAAACAATGTTTATTTTACTACATGTGAAAATATTTGTGAGGTGAGATAGAGAGAGAGAGATGAATTGATGTTATTTTTTGAAGAGAGTGTATCGCATGTCTTAAGAAGGTTGAAGGTGAATATTAATAAAAAAATGCTTATTTTATTGGTGATAAAAGGCCACTAAATCATTGAAGCTTTGAAATTTTGTATATGTTTTCCTTAATAATATATAAAAACGTGAGAGAGGCGAGTGATTTTTTTATTTAAATTAAGAAAAAAAAAAAAACTTAAAATCATCGAAAAAACTAAAGAAAACTAAAAACTTGTTCAAATAATGATTATTTCTTTGCTTTGTTGTTACTCAGCTTTGTAAGCTTATTTTGAAGATTACAGTGCTTTTTATATTGTGAGGAATCTATGGATATTATTTACGCCTGTTACTTGCCATAAATTCTAAGAAAGACATTTAGTTCAAGCTTCTTTTTTTTACTACAATTATTTGTTTTCCTTTTTTTTGGACTTTCTTTGGGATGTTGCGGTTCTTTAAATTTGGAAAAAACGAGTTGAATTCTAATGCGCGCCGTAGTAAAAATTTACTCATATTATTGTTGTTGGTTTTTTCTAAATTCTTCTATTTTACCCCTATATTCTGTATTGAGGGAAGAGAAATATTCTACCATGACTGATATTATGTTATGATGTTGTTGTAGTTGGTAGAGGACATTAATTTCGAAAAAAGTCATAGAGAAGGGGTTAGATTTTGAAAAGATGCATTAGAGTTTACAATTTTCTAGTTATATATGAGAGGGAGAGAGGGAGAGAGAGTACTAATGACTGTAAGTATTGATGTATTCCATTTTGACATATATTCTAGCGTCTATAGATTTTATGAGAAGTTTTATTGGCGACTGATTTGTTTTTTTTTTTGTAGATTTTTTCACAGAGGTGGCGCCCAATGGCATTTTGTTAAACATTTACCCGAAAGAGACTGTCAATTCAAAGTTTTATTATAATATGACCGTTGTAAAGGCTTAGGGTACATGGATGGCGACCAAGCATCAATTCCAAGGATGTTATGAAGGCAACGTCTGGGAGGTTTTATTTTATTCAACTATAAACCCGAAAACCGTTCCATGTCAGTCGTGTCTACTGTAAGACAAGGAATATCTGCTCAGGAAATCAACATTTTCTGAAATCTTCGGGAGAATCACAGGGAGAAGCTAGAGAACAGTCACGACATGACTTGGTTTTTTTTTTTTTTGTAAATTATCAGCCAAAGATGGCATTGAATGAGTTTCTAAAATTGACTTGGTTTTCTTTGTACATTATCCCCCAAAGATGGATTTTGTAAACATTGAAGGAGATTCTGAAGAACTCAAAGCTAAGGGCTTTAAAACATTAAACATTGACTCGAAAGAGACTTTCAAAATCGCAAAGTTAAGGGTTTTAACATGGGCCGGGCATTGCTTCCCAAATATTCAACGCTGTCTTGTTTAAATTCGGTAACGATTAATCCATGACAAAACAATGAAACCCATGATTTATCTATCCTACGATAACCCAATATTTTGTTAAAAATATTAATTAAATATTGTTTGATAACCCAAAGCCCAGAAAATGAAAGCGAGTAAAGAGAGCAGTCTTCCAGCTGTTTTTTGCTAGATTTTAAAGACTGTTGTTCGATAAATGTTTACAATATTTGTACGTGAGAGAGAAAATTCTCTCCGTAAACCTTTTACTAGACAGGTTATCGTACACACCTAATATCATTTGGCCGTCATTGCATTTCGCATAAGCTATTATATAAATTCAGCATTTCCATCTCTGCATATGTGAACGATTGCTAGTAACTACTCTGAAGTTAGACGCAATCGAATGCCATATTAGCGAGAAGTTTTGTTTGGTAGAAAATTATTTCCACAAAGATGGCGCCCAATGTGTTTTTTCAACATTGACTCGAAAGCGACTTGGAAGACCATTTTGAACCATTACTTCTATTCCACAGTCATATTGGGTACAATTTTCGCTATCTTCACATAAAATGTATAGTACTGCTTTGACAACTACTAACATGCCGTGACATGGACCTGCATTGAAAATATGTTTTTTTTGTTTTGTGTGGTATATAATTGTTTAAATTCTAAACTATGGAATTGAGTGTTATTTTTTCTCATTTTATTTATGCATTAATTTTAAATAAAATATACATGCTATGACAGACTATTTTACACAGAACGTAAATTTCTTTCAAAGTGCAATATTTGTGATTTGCAAGAGTGGCTTTTTTTTTTTTTGTTTTTCTCTTAAACCAGGTGCATAATTTTCTTCAGAACACTTTACTAGTTTTGTTTTTCGAATAGAAGTCTACAAACTCATAACTTCTGTAAGTAATATTTCAATTTAAACAAATATGTAATTCTAGGTGTTGAACTTGGGGAAAACATCATGCTTTAAGAGTTTTTAATATTGTGATTTGTATGTGTAGGAGTTTTGTGTAAGAACTTTGAAGTTTTTTCTTTTTGTTTTTTGAAATAAAAAAGGAAAACAAATTTACAGAACAGCAGCTTCGAAATTAGTTCATTAATAAATTACAAAAAAGAAAAAAGAGAACATTCATTAAGCTTAATTCACTTTTCTACTGGAGGGAATCTAATACTACGTTAACACGATTAATGCAATTGAAAGACATTTCTTTAAGCCAAAATCCTTTAAAGAAATTTCCCACTTGCATATGTCGTGTGCCCAAGCTTAAGGTTATCAACTCTACGTTTGAACAAAACCAAAACCAAAGACAAAACAAAAAACACAAAATCATAATTAAAAGGCATTTTATGTTTATTTCTTGGAAATTTTGTGATTACAAAAATTTGTTTTCAATTCTACTCTTATGTTGCCAATATTTATGTTCAGAATAATGTATAACTAAAATCTATATAATAACTTAAAATTATTTATGATTTTTGTTTATGTTTCAGAAAATTAAATATAATTTACTTATGAAGAATGTTGCCTTTTTAATGTCATTTTTCCGATATACCTGATAATGATATGATTTATTTAATGTTTCATTACTAAATGGAATTAAACAATATAAATTTTATGTTTACTTTGACGTTTTGCCATGAAAAGAAAATCCCCGGTATTGTTGAAACAAAATAGCACAATAAAACTTGCCACATTTAAATTTTTATTATGTTCCCGCATGGAAAATGACAACACTTTTCATAGGATACACTTTATAATATTTGTAAAGTAAAGAAAGAAATCTTGAATAAACAACGATTTCAATTTCAACAGGGTTTTACATATATATACTTTTAACACAGGCGAGTTTACACAACAAAGGAATATGTTGGCTCATCGCCTTAGCTGGTTTTACACCGTTAAATTATCTCGTCACTTTTAATAAAAATTATTTTGTTTTCAATTGGGCCCATGTTAGAAGAATACAGGTAGTCGCATCGACACAGCTGCTGGGTCAATGAACTGTCAAACTAGTTTTGAAATTGAATATTTTGAATGCAAAATTATTCAAATTTGCAAAAATTGTTAAAAATATGTTTAGTATAATAACCTCCGATTGGAGTCGTATAAGAAAACGTAAAAAATCTATATATTTTTGAAAACAAAAAACATTTTAAAAATTTTGACACATCAATGTTCTCGTTGATATATCTACCTGAATTCTTCTACCATAGAAAGGAACAAAGCATAACTCAACGGCGATTTTACACCACAAAAGCGCATCGCATTAGTTGGTTTTACACCGTCAAATAATCCCGTCGCTATATCACTAGAAAAAAACTTCTTTTATGATTGAAATACTGAATGAAATCAATTTTTTTGGTTACAGTTAGTCTTAGCGAATGACCACATAAAACTACCTTGATAACAATCATTTGTCACCATGACGCAATTATAACATAAACATTTCTTTACGCTTTGTTTACTCGTTGTTTATATTCTTCTTAGTAAGATTCCAATCACAATAAGTATTTTGACAACTCTTCTAGAGGACAAACGGAGTACTCAAGGCCCATTAAACAGGTCGCGTAGATATTAAGGAAAAATACCGTTGTTATTGAAAAACTCGCATACTGTTAATACTTTTGTTTACGTTTTACGATCTCATACGTTTAATTGCAGCATTTGACAATACGAGTGAAATCAGCTGATCTTATCAAATGATCTAATAGATGAGCAATGGGAGTATCTTTTTATTGTGTCAAATATCATATCGGTAGACAATTGGATGGGCTGACTCTTGGCCCAAGTATAAGGTCTAAGACAGCTGACTACTAAATTTAATGTCAAAATGCATTATTGTGATTGAAATCGCAGAACAAAAGATAAACAAATGGCACACAAATGTAAATAAGTTTTGACATTTAATATGGTTTTTAAAATTTGCAGGAACACCTTGTTATTGCGCCATGAATCAGAAGTAGTTAAATTGAAATTCGTCCAATTTTTTTCTATAAAATACGGGTTTTCTATAAAATACGTATGTATGAAATTGTGGCTCGAATAATATATAAGGAACGCTAAACTAACAGATAAGGAACGTATGCAAAGACATAGAAGTATAAAGATGGGACAAGACAGAGTCAAGATATGGCAACACTGTGAAAATACCTCTGTTGTTATGATATCGTAACAACATAGTTAGCAATGTTAGGCGATTAAAACCGATTAGGCAATATGCAATTAACTGGGAAAGTCTATGGAGTAAAATTTTGAAACCCAATTTTTGGATTTTTAAAATTTTTGTTTGTCTTATTTTTCTATAAATGGGTTTTTTATATTAACATGGTCCTGCCATGGGCTGTTATCTAGATAGTATAGACACAAACCATTTGCTCAAAATGCATTTTGTCTAGTCTTTACCATTTTAGGTCTTTGACGTATGAACATATAGGGAACGCTAAACTAGGAAAGTAACTAAATATTGACGACAACATTAAGATCTCTTTGAACGATGGACTTTTCTTAATGAAAAGTATGAACCTTTCGTAAAGAAAAGTATTAAAGTTTCGCGAAGAAAAGTCTGAACTGTTTTCAATGAAAAGTACAAACTTTTTTATTAGATAATATGATATTTTTTGATGAAAAGTATGAACCTTTTTTAAATACTTCATGAAAGTCTTAACTTTTCTTAAGTACAAGAACGAATTTTTACTTTTAGAAAAGTACCAACTTTTACTTTTAGAAAAGTACGAAGTTTTAGTTTTAGAAAAGTACGAACATTTCTAATGAAAAGTAAGAATTTTGTTGAACTTTTCTGAAGAAAATTATGATCTTTCCTTAAAGAAAGATATGAACTTTTCTTATAGAACATTCCTTACGAACATTTTATTCATGAATATTATGAGATTTTTTTTAAAGAAAAGTACCGAACAGTTCATAATGTATAAACTTTTCTTAAAAAAATTATGAAAATATGAAAATATGAAAAGAAAAAAAATGTATTCAGGGGGTAGCTTTGTTCTACCTTCTGTAATTGTGCCATGATGAAAAGTATGTACTTGAACTTTTCATAAAGACAAGTATGAACTATTCATAAAGGAAAGTATGATCTTCAGGCACAACACTTTTCTCAAAGAAAAGTATGAGCTCTTTTCTTATCTTTTTGTTTGATATTAACAAAAAACAAAATAATAAAAAAAAAAAAACACAAAATATAACTTATTTATGATAAATGAGCAAATATTGGTAACTTTCAAATGTTGTTTTTTTTTTTTTTTGGGTTTTCATTCCTATTAATAACATTTCAATATATCATAATGTGATTGATTCTTCCATAGGTTTTAAGAATTTATTTGTGTTAATTTTTTTCTTTTTTACAAGCAATAAACTACATATGTATTTTTAAATTAATTCTTCTTCTTTTATTTATTCGTAATTTTTACCATATCTTGGTTTCCTTATTGTTTTTTTTTATACATGCCTTACACATTAACAATTGAAAAATAAATAATAAATATAGTAATTAATTAACAAATTACAAATACATGCACAAAAACTTTTAAAGCCTCTGGTTTTTGGTTTGTAAATTTATGTGTTTTTTTTAATATCAAATATTTTTTTATTTATTTTTGTCATTTTTTTGTTTCTTAAATATAAAACTTATAAAGAAATAAATATTATTTTAATTAAAAATAAAATAAATATATATATTTTTGCAAATTTCTTTTAATAGAATTGTTTTTGTTTGTTATTTTGTTATTGCAAATAACAAATTGGTGTTTGCTTCGGGCAATTGAAAATTTTTCAAAAATAAAGAAAATGTGTGAAATGTGAGAATCATATAAAATGTGACTGCAGGATAGAATTGAGAGAAGTTGAAATGTCACAAAGAAAATTGTTGAAAAAGTTGGATCGAGAATTTTATGAATTTATCTTGAAAAATTTATCTTAATAAAAAATGTGAAATTTTTATAAATACTAGTATGTATGTATATTTCTTAAATAAAAATTATTAACTTTTCTTAATAAAATGTATAAACTTTTATATACTTTATGTATACCCCCAGCCTTGAGTTACAATTATTCAAAATGTTGACCCTTTATGGGGAAGTTCCGAAGTTGGCCAACATTGACCAATTCGTATCTGACTTAACACTGATATACATATTAAAACGTGTCAGATTTGGACTATATCGATTACTTCCTATACATTATATGAGATGAAGTACCCCATTTTCATACTTCATCTAATGCAGATAAAAATATTGGTATTTGCAAAATTTGAAGACAAACGAACATTTATATCCAATTTTAGCGAAATTATAAATTTCGGAAATTGTGACCCTTTGTGGGTTAGGTACCAGAATGGGTTCGCAATTACCAAAAATATTTGAATGTGTGAAATTTGAAGGGAGTTGGATGCTATTTTTGCTTTCTTTGAACGTTTTGTTTTGCAAAATCTTGTACCAATTATGGGGGAGGTACCAGAAGAAATAGTCCGATCTCTACCATCTTTATGAAATCGGATGTTTATTTCCCTTTTCATGAGCTTCATGGATACTCAACATTTTGACCCTTTGTGGGGGAGGTACCAGAAGGAATGGTCCGATCTCTACCATCATAATAACATATCTGGTGTTCATGAAAATATTGAGAAGTGTCAAGTCTGAATGGAATCGGATTTTAATATCGTGTTTTATGAGCTTCATGAAAGTTCAAAATATCGACGTTTTGTGGGAGATGTACCAAAAGGAATGGTCCGATCTCTACCATCCTAATAACAGATCTTGTGTTCATGAAAATATTGAGAAGTGCCAAGTCTGCATGGAATCGGATTTTAATTTCGTGTTTTATGAGCTTCATGAATGTTCAAAATTTTGACCCTTTGTGTGGGAGGTACTTAATAGTGTGGACCGATATTTTCTATTTTTGCACCTGACCTAGCACTAACGCAAATACTAATACTTGCAAAGTTGGAGCAAAATTGGATTATCGTTTCCCTTTCTGTGCAGAATTTTTTTTTAACATTTCGAAAATTTTGGCCCTTTGTGGGGTAGGTACTTGACGAAGTGGACCGATATTGTCCATTTTCGCACATGATCTAGTATTAATGCAAATATTAGGATTTGCAAAGTTTGAGCAAAATTGGATTATCCTTTCTGTTTCTGTGCAGAAAATATATTTTTTTAAATTTCGACTTTTTGTGGGGGAGGGGGTCCAGAAGGAGTGGACCGATATTTCCCATCTCCGAACTCGATGTAAGTTTGGCAATAATATTATGATTTACCAAGTTTGGATCAAATCGGATACTCCTTACGAAAGTTATCTGCGCACCAGCCAGCCAGACAGACAGACGGGCGGGCCTAGCTAGATCGACTCCAAATGGCCTGAAACGGATTTGTCCCAAAGAGAGGTTCGTTATGGCCGTATCAAATGATATATACCCTCTCTAGCCATATGGCTGAGCGTAGAGTATGAACATTTCCTAAAGAAATGCATTAACTCTTCTTAAAAAAAAACCTTTTGAGGTACTCTTTGTAACATTTCAAATTTCTCTGCGAAGAGAGGAGAGTAATGCAAATGAAATAATCATTTGTCAAAGCAAACAAGATAAGCATATGGAAAGAGTAATAAAAACATTTCACTACATTAAGGGAATTAAATAAAAATGTTGAGAAAAAAGAATAGAAACGTTTGGAAACTGTTTTTACAAATAGACAATAAATAAAAAATAGTTGCTTTATTTTAGTTTTGTTAAATAATTTAAAGGTTATTCAGGTGTTTTTGTTTGTTATGTCTTTAGCATTACTACAAAGTCTACAAAAAATGGGGAAGTTGAAAAATTAAAAAAAAAAAATAACAATCAAATTCTTTATAAGAATTTTTAATTTAAAACTAAGCATTTGTTTCAAATGTAATTTTAGGGAAATCTTATTACAAATACATCTTCATTTGAATTAATTCTTTTAATTTTCGATAATTTCCATTAAAATTACTTTTGAAACCTTAAGAACGAGGGAGGAGCTCTAATTTAAATAAATTAAATTTAGCATTTAACAAGTAAAACTATGTGTAAATATGTGTCTCTGGGTGTGTGTTTGTGTGTAGTGTTCTATTTCATGTTCTCGTTATTTTTTTGTGTTTCTGTGTGTGTGTGTGTTTTATGATGATTGTAACTAAGAATTCAAACACAACTACATTTGATTAATATGTATGTATGCAATTGCAATTAATTAATAAGTTAGTAAATGTACTAAGTTTTTGTTTTGTTTTGTTTGATTTTCGAACTACATATTTATCTGTGATTAACAGGAAAAGGAGGATCATAAAAGGAAGTAATAGTTGTTGTTGTTGGAGTAGTAGTAGTAGTTTTTTGAGATGTTGTTCTATTATTATTAGTAGTAGTAAAAGTGGTTGTTGTTGTCTTTGTTGTTGTTGATGTTTTATTCAAAAACGATGTAAGATATAATGATGCTGATGTTGGTAACAAGAAGGAGATTAGTAACCATGATGACGACCATAATGTTTGAAAAATAGTAGAGATTGATGATGATAGTAGGAGAAGGTATTGTGAACTAGTTCCTAAATGTGTGTTTAGCACTACTAAAAATGTCATTAATGTGGCGATAATGTAGGGTATGTTAGATGATGTGTATAAATTTTTACTAGAATTGCACATATCTTCCTCACAAAAGCACATATGTCCATTGCCTGAACTTTCCATCATGCACACATGATCGACCATAAATAAATTTATTTGTAGTTGTGACGTACACATGCGTCTAACAACTTCGTAGGCTGGAAGGAGAGAAAAAAAGACGGAAATATCCAAAAAATTAAAATTTTAATTTGAAAAAAATTTGTGGAGGCCATCCAGAACTTACGTGATTTCGAGTGTCGCACCATTTTAACACAACAGCCATTGCATGTCATCAACGGTGGCTGATCTCTTGGCAATGCAGTATAATTGAATGGATCCTTGCATCGGGCATCTGTCCACGAGTCACATTCATAGCAGTATATTGAACGCGCTATATATATTCAATATTGTTTTCGGTACACATCCATTGGAGATTTTTCCCAAAGAAAACAAAAATAATATTAGTAAACGATATGAGACAAGTTGTTACAAAATGAAATAAAAATATTTTACTTTTATTGTTAATAAACAAAAGCAACGTTCACGAAAAAATAACTTTCTCTATTTTAAAAAAGAACTACACAAATAATCTCTTTTTTTTAAGAAGCTCTTGTGATTAGTAGTTTTTTAGACTCAGGCTTAAACACAGCGTGCAAAAAAAACCAAACACTCACTATTTGGAACAAACATTTTTACTTTAGGAAAAACAAAATAGGATTGATTTTTAAACTATAGATTTTAATGAATAAATAAATAAATGATTTAACAGAAATAAAAGTATTTTTCGGGACTTGGTGGTGGGGGTTTTATTTATCAAAGATTTCTTTTCATCGTAGCAACTCCTCTTTCAAAGTTTGAGTTGCAAGCTATTCCAAACCCTCATCCACACATTCACAATGATCATCCTTCCAAATTCCGTAATTACAGTTCTACAACTACACTCTGTAAAGGGGCGCTTTTCAAAATTCAACACCTTATCTGAAAGCTATACATTCTCTGTGATCCTTGTACCAAAATTCATAACTCCACCTCTAATCCAATATTTTAAACCAATTTTAATATCTTTGACTACTTTCTACAGCACGCATTTCCCACAATACCTCATTGTAAACATGCTAGATCCACAATGTCACGTATATCAAAATTCATAACTCCCAGCTACCTCATTAATTTATAATTCCACCTCTGCTCTAAGACTCGACATAAAATTAAGTACGTACGGTGCACTTAATTTTATGTCGAGTCTTATTTTCAGAAACCCCTTGGGGTTGTCTATCCCACACAACGTCAAGGATATCCAATTTCCAGCTCTATCCCTTCCCCAAATACCACATTATATACCATTTAGTAATACTACATCAAACCTATCCCACACAAAGTGATCTTATCCAAATGAAAATAATTTACTACCATTTAGTACTTTCCAAACTTTTCCATAACGTACACGCTAAGAGTATTAATGTAAAAATTCAGGTTTTAAGCACTATCCGTTCACAAAATACCAAATTTAGTACCACTTAGTACTTTTCTTATTATTATGGCACTCATTTCCATCAACACCTTTTTATATCAACCCCACTTTCCAAACTTAATTTTCATAGCAAAAGTCAAGATTTAAGATCTATCCGTTCACATAATAACAAATGCTCCATGCATCTTACTTTCTATTTCAGAATTCTAGTTCTATCCATTTGTCCAAGAACAATTGATTCAATTTTAATTACCTTTCAGTACACCTAGTACACCGTTCATGAATCAGTCAGTCACTCTCTCCTCATTCTACTGATGTGAGGTACTGATGTGAGGTACTGAGAGCACGCGTACGGTACTTTCATGGCAGAAGAACACAGGTAGATGCATTAACGCTTGGGAACATTGATATGTCAAAAATTTAAATGTTTTTTTTTTTTTTGAAATATAAGTAGATTTTTATTTCTTTTCTTATACGGCGTCATTCGGCGTTTATTATAATTCATATTTTTCAACAATTTTTACAAATTTAAATAATTTTTCATCCAACATTTTCCATTCCAAAATTAGTTTGACAGTTCATTGTCCCAGCAGCTGTGTCGATGCGTCTACCTATATTCTTCTACTATGAACTCTTATAAAAACTAACAGAAGTGCTTGTTCAAATCTACAATAATAATAAAGTCGTTAAATGCAATAGCGGTTCTGTCACCCTTAGGGACACGATTCGCGAGTGGCTTCTCGTTCGAAGAAAAATTCCCAGGTAGTACACTCGCTTGTCACTCTCGAATCAATAGAAAATGTGTCAGACGAAATGTCAAAATTTGTTTACGTGTTGTTTGCTGTTTGTTTATCTTTCGTACTGTGATTCCAATCACAATAAGTGTTTTGACAACTCTAGATCATCAGCTGCGACAAGACAAACAAAATTCTTATATTGGGGAAACCCGTGGAACAAGAATGGAATTTTTGTGTTATTCCACAAGATTGAATATAATTGGTATGACAATACAGTTTTATCCCAATAGTGTACAACGTGTTGCCCATTAACATCGAAAGTATGCATTTATTGTATTTTTTTATTAGATCCCAATATGGTAGAAGAATATAGGTAGATGCATCAATGCTTGAGAACATTGATATGTCCAATTTTTTAAATGTTTTATTATAAAGGTAGCTTTTTTAATGTTTTTTATACGACGCCAATAGACCTCTTATAATATGCACTTTTGGCAATTTTTTTTACAAATTTCAATAATTTTCATTTAACATTTTCAATTTTAAGATCAGTTTGACAGTTCATTGTCCCAGCAGCTGTATCGATGCGACTACTGGTATTCTTCTACCATGGATCCCAATCAAAAGCAACCACAACCCAGCAGCTGTATCGATGCGACTACTGGTATTCTTCTACCATGGATCCCAATCAAGTAGTAAGTAAGTAAGTTACTTTATTGAGTCTTCTTCTTTTCGATGGTACATTTAAATACAAAGTGAACGATTAACATGAATTGAGACTGTTAGAACTATTGTTGTCTTATTCTAACGTACAATGAAAGTGTATAATATGCTACATGCGAATTGTGAAATCAATACACAAAATGTAAACAATGAATGAAGTATATAAGGCTTGCTCCCGGCCTCAACTGTAACTAACAGTGCTAATGACTGTGTATAATAAATAAATAATTAACAAAATCTTAAAACTAGTTAACAAAATATGACATCAAAACGGAGTGACAGTCAGTGCTCTTACACAGAATGTGTAATTATACATAAAAATTTCTTATTCTTTGAATATCACAGTAAGTTTTCAGCTAATAAATCGAATTCTCATAAAGAGAGATCTACAGTATAGGCTGCTTAAAAGTAAAAGTGTATATATTTTGTAACAAATAATGAATTATTATAATTAACTAATTTTACTGATTAACCTCTGTGGGTTCCAGGTACTGATTTAATGTAGAAGCGTGGTAAGGTATAGTCATCTGCGACATCTTCAGTAGGTTCGTTGAGAATACCCACTGTAGACAGATATGACGAATCTGACCAGGATATATTTTTCTCGATTTCGTGGATTTCGCTTACAATATGGTTTTCGTGAGTAGCCAATTTCTCTACAAACTTCCTTTGAAGTTGTTGGGCGTACTTACAAAATGGCACAACGTTAGAGATTTTGTATATGTAAGTATTGGAGAATTTTTTGTGATGAGATTGATAATATTTGTTTGTGCATTTTCTTAAGACCTTTCTTTCCAGGATTTCCAATTCGTTGGCAACTATTGGGGAAATAGGAAACCAGATTGGAAACGCGTATGTTAGGATAGATCTAATTGCCACCTTATATAGGAGCAGCTTGGTGTTTTGAGGTAAATAATTGCTGTTAAGGATGTTTGAAAAACTCGCTAATATACCTTTAACTTTTTGCATGATGGAACGAGCATGGTCGTTGAATTTTAGGAGATGATTGAATGTTACACCAAGGTACTTTAAGGATGTGCTGAAAGGAATTTCTACTCCTTCTAAAGACAATTTTAATTGCTTGCTTTCTGGTACAACTTTTCGTGGGCATTTGCCCGACGCATTACGTATGCATATGGCTACCGATTTAGCGGCATTTATTTTAATACCCCATTGTTTATAAAAGTTGTTGATTATGTGTAGGTGTTCTGAAGCAACACTCAGGGCAATGACTGGCGAAGGATTATGTGCGTAGACTATGCAGTCATCTGCATACAGGATTGCTTTGGAATGTTGATACATGTGTGGAAAGTCATGAAGAAACAGGTTAAAAAGGTATGGTGCCAAGATACTACCTTGAGGAACGCCGCTATTTACGTGGCCCAAGGATGATGATGTATTCCGGATCTGAACCATAAATTTACGAGAATTGAAGAAACTCTTTAGCATTTTTATAATAAATGGATCTACTCCAAGTTGAATTAATTTGAACAAAATACCGAGGTGAGACACTGAGTCAAACGCTTTTTGTATATCCAATGATATTGCAACTGTGCATGATTGACTCCTTAAGTTTGTTGTTACGTCGTTATGAAACTTGAGAAGTGCGTGCTGAGTGGAATGTCCAGATTTGAAGCCAAATTGGTAGTTTGATATTGGATCAATAGTTAATTCATTGTTTAATTTTTCTTTCAGCACTACTTCCAGTATTTTACCAATATTTGACAAAAGGGAAATTGGGCGAAAGTCATCAACGTTGCAATTTGTTGTTTTCTTCTTGATGGGTATGATTTTGGCAACTTTCCATTGTTTGGGAAAGTATCCGTTGTTAATGCAATTATTGAAAAGGCACGTGAGTAAATTAATTGTGGATTCTGGAAATCTCTTGATTATAAAGTTTGAGATTTCATCAGGGCCGCTAGATTTTTTTGAATTGATGTTGAAAATAATGTTTTTTATATTTTCAGATGAAGTAAAGTGGTATGTGTCTGGATTGTGGAGAGAATTAAAATTTTCATCGAATGAATATATATGAGTTGGTGTTGAGTTGATACATGTTAATAGCGTAGAATTATGCTCATCTGAGGCAGGAAGTGTTGTTGAGCCTTCAAATATGGTGGAATAAAAATTCTTAAAATGATCTGCAATCTCGTTACTGTTTGTAATAGTGTTGTTAGCATGGTTGATCTGACGGCAGAAAGATGATTTATTGCTTCCTGTAAATCGGTGTATTTCTTTAAAGGCGGACGGACTAGGTTTGATTTTTTGCAATCTATCATTAAATATTTGGGCTGTTTCTATTTTGACTAGCTCCTTTATTATTATTTTCAAGAGCTGAATTTGATTAGAAAGAATGGAGTACTCACGGCTTGTCCTGTTGCCTGAACGATGGAAGATTTTTTTGAGATTTCGTTGCCATTGATGTTTAATTTGTAGGATTTTCTTGATTTTGTCCGAGTATGGTAGGCTCCTATCCTCTATTTTAAATTTTTCGGAGTGTATTTCATGGATGTTGGAAAAATGACTCTTAAAACCGTTTAGAGTGGTATCAATCTCGTCATTGGTCAGGTTCCTATTGATGGAAGGCATTATTTGACGTGAGATAACGTCTATGTCCTGACGAAAGTTATGCCAATTAGTGTTTTTATAAGATATGAAGAATTGCGGAGGCGTCAAATCGATGTTTAAATGATCAAGTTTTAGGTCTAACTTAATGGGGAAATGATCCGAGAAAGTGGGTCTAGTGGATATAGTATAGTTAGGATTTCTACTGTTGATTAAATGGTTGCTGAGTAGGAAATGATCCAGGTAAGAGGTACCACTTGGATACGATGGGCTAGTATCGCATATCCTGATGACATCCATAGAATTATCTGATAACCAGGACCTCAAGACTCTTCCATTTGAGTTTTCGTAGGAGTCGCCCCATGTTGGACTTTTGGAGTTTAAGTCCCCTCCAAAGATGAAACCATCAAAGTTGCTAGATAACTGAAGTAATGTATTCAGATCAAGATCGAGGCGCTGTACAGGATAACTGCACGGGATATATACCGATCCCAGAAGGTATTTTTTTGTTGAATTGTTAGATGAGATTTCTATAAGTGTCGTATTAATGCCAGTGGCCGGAACGGAAACTCTCTTGAATTGAATTGAGTCCTTGATGAAAATTGCAACTCCAGTGGGAGAATTATCGTAGACAAAAGTGTATCCACTTATTTTGACACGCATGTTGGATCTGAGATGACATTCCTGGATGAATGCTATATCGATGTTATTGTGAAGTAGTGTGTTTTTTAATTCTATTTGTCGACTTCTATCCACAAGGGATCGTACATTGAAAGTAAGAAATTTTAGTGATCTATGGTCCATAATTCAATTTAACTTTATTAAGAAGCATTAAAAATTGTTTTTTTGCTTCGGTTTTTGACAAGTTTTTATATTCTGTTAGGAATATTTGAATTTCTTGCTCTAAGGTCAGCTCTTCAGGTTCCAAAAAAAGATTTGCTAACTTAAGGAAGTCTTGAATTATTTGTGGTTTTTTGGTTGAATCTTGGGGAATAGATGTGACACTTTTAAATAAGTTTGAAAAAGTTTTTTCCGGTGAATATTTGGATGTGTTTAATGCTTTAGATACATTGTTTTGAGCTAGAGCTCTGTTTTCTAATGCTACTGCCATCTTTTTTTTCCTGTCGGAGGCATATTTTTTATAGGAGGGACATCCTCGCCAGTTGGCGGGATGGCCTGTTTTTTCGCAATTAACACAGTAAGGTTCCGAGGTGTCTGTCTTGGACCTTTTACATTCTCCAGGAAGATGTTTGTCTTTACATTTAACGCATCTGTAAGAGCAATTGCAATTACGTGCTATATGTCCGTGCCCTTGACATCTTCGGCATTGGACGAAGGTATCCCTTTTTTTGGGTTTCTCCCAGATTATGGATTGGTATTGCAGTTGGCGAATATGTGAAATTTCGCCAAACTTCTTTCCTGGCAATAAGCAAACTAAGAAAAGACCCGTATCAGTGTTGTTTTTAATTGATGTCGGTGTTCTAAATTTTGAGACACTGGCCACTGTTTCAGGAACTAACTGATCTAGTTCGTTTTTAATTGCCTCTGGTTCAGTTAGAGAGAAGAGGTTTCGGATTATCAGGGATGTCTGCTTTTGATCCTTGGGTGTGAAAGAGTATGACTGAATATTTTTTGACTTTAAAAGATCCATCATTGAGGTATGAACTTTAGAATCGGCAAAGTACAACTTACTTTTGTTTTTATTTATATTTTTAATTTTAAAATTGCACTGTGGGGATGCGGCACGTAATGACTCTACTAGAGAGTTTATGTTGACATTGTATGTAAAAATCGGTGGGCACCAAGAGATTTTTGGTTTTGGAGGAACATTGATTTTGGTTGTGGTCGGATTGCTGACAGGTGTGGAAATGTCAATGTCTGCCAATGCCCCCAAAATGCCAAATTTGTTTTGGTCCTGCGGGTTGTAGTTGGTTAATTTCTCAGCCAGATCCGATACATTTATTGATGATATTGCACTTTCTAGGCGCAGTCTCTTGCGTTCGTTCTGTTTTGTCTTGTTTTCTTGCATACTAGTGGAGTTTGCAAAAGCCGGCAATTGTTTGGAGGTTGATGCGATCTCTTCCGTGACATCAAACTCCATGTCGGGGGGAAGAGAATCGGGATCCTCCATTGCAAAATTATGCAATTTGGAGGTCTTTTTCTTATGATTCTATCTTTTTTTAAATAATTTTTAATAGAAACTTAAAACAGCACGTCTGGTATGTTGTAGGGTTCACTAGGTTTCGGATCCCAATCAAAAGCAACCACTTTCTGCGCACGAGAAAGAAACATGGTAGAAGAATACAGGTAGTCGCATCGACACAGCTGCTGGGACTATGAACTTTCAAATTGATTTTGGAATTTAAAATATTGAATGAAAAATTATTGAAATTTGTAAAAATTGTTGAAAATGCATATTTTTACAACTGCAGATTGCATCGTTTAAGAAAACATTTTAAAATCTACATATTTTTGGCAAAAAATATTAAATTTCTTGACATATTAATTTTTCCAAGCGTTGGTGCATCTACCTATATTCTTCTACCATGTTGGGATTTAATAAAAAATGCAATAATTTGAAATTGCTTCAAATTCGGTTGCAAAATAAATGCATACTTGCGATGTTAATGGGTAACACGTTGTACAATATTGGGATAAAACTGTATTGTCCTACCAATTAGATTCAATATTGTGGAATCCCAAAATTTGAAAATTGAAGAAAAAAAAGAAAAATAAACAAAACCAACGCATTAATTTCGATGAAGGTGTTAAATTACGGTATGGCAACATTGTTTCAAGGGATCACAAATTGCGATATTTTTTCCAAAATCGAAAATTGTGAACCCTTTTTTACGTTTTTTCTTCTCGCTAATCGTGGCCCGGCTATAATGGCCCCCTTTTAAGCCAGCTGACTACCAAATGTAATATTAAAATGTATTATTGTGATTGAAATCACAAAAAAACCAACAGCCAATAAAGTGTAAACAAATCTTAAATCTGTTTTTTAATATTTGCAGGAACACCTTGTTACGGCGGTAATTGTGGTTTAAAACTCAGAGAGTCAAATCACAATAGTGCAAAACTACTAATTTTTTGTCGAATCGTTGCATGGTAGAAGAATATAGGTAGATGCATCAACGCTTGCGAACATTGATATGTCAAAATTTTAAAATAATTTTTGTCTAAAATAAGTACATTTTTATATTTTTTCTTATACGAGGCAAATCGGAGGTTTTTACAATATGCATTTCTCAACAATTTTTACAAATTTTAATAATTTTTCATTCAACATTTTCAATTCCAAAATCGGTTTGACAGTTCATTGTCCCAGCAGCTGTGTCGAAGCGACTACCTGTATTCTTCTACCATGAATCGTTGTCAAAAGTAGTCTTCTTGGCCGACCTTACATAGACCTCGATATAAATATCACTATTGTGATTTGTCAATTACCACTGTTAACCGGGACAAATTGTTAGAAATTTGTCTTTTAAGGGTTAAAATACACACGTATGTCTTCTATACCCAATTATTTTTTTTATAAGTTCCAAAGATCAAAATTATAGCATATGGAAGCTCATGCCTGGTGTAGGTTGATAATGGCCAGCATGCTTCAAAATACAGTGTATAAACAATTTATGCACGAAAACTTGATAACAATGAAAAAATTGAGAAATACCAAATTTATATAAAACGTCTTAATTAAGTCAGACTTATTTTGATTGTTCAATTATCAGCATTAACCCGAATAAAGTTTTGTATTTTAATATACTTTTATAGCACGTTTATATAAAAAATCTTTACCCGCGTTAACCGTAATTATTGTCCAAATACAATTAATTTCACATTGTCAAATTTATGTGATTGGTCAGTTATGAGCATTTACCCAGATAAACTTTCTGTATGTAAACATACTTTTAATTTGAATTCTGGGATATGAAGCGTGACAGAAAAAAGCGAGTTTTTGAAAGGCAGAGAGGAAGGCCCGAAGAAAAAGTTAAATGTTTATCTTTTCCTCAACCCTCTTTGTTCCCAGAAAACACACTTTTTTGTGAACATCTATACGGATTTATAGCATGTTTACATACAAACCTTTTGAAGCGATTACCACGGTTAGTTAATAATTCACAATAAACTTAAATTATGTTGTTCATAGTCAAATTTATTGTGATTGATCAATTATTACAACTAACTTGGCTGAAAATTTGTGTGTGAATTTCTTTGCTCGTGGTTAAATTAAAGTTCTTTTAGCTTTTTAAATTAAAATAGAACCGATTTTAAATTTTTTTTCATTATCATCGAACTTTCGTGTTTATGTAGAGTTGATATTTAAATAAAATTATAATTTCGAAACCACAATGCAAACGTTCTATAACATAACAAACTCGTCACTGAAACTACATTTCTACACTAAGAAGAACACGAGGGGGCAAATGTATGTTTGATTTTTAAATATATTACAATAGATATTGGTTTGGATATTGTTTTGGATAAAGAAAAAGGTACAGTGATAGCCATTGAAAGCAGGGTAAAAAAGAAGGGCTTGAAATGAAAACATATTGTTGTATTTTTTTATTATAATTTCATGTTGGAATTACAAAAGCTGAAACCTGTATTTGTTTTTGGAAAGTTGTAAATTCAAATGCATGATTTTTTTTTTATAAAAATTGTTATTCATAAAATGCTTGGCAAATTATAGAAAAATAAGAAAAACCTCATTCAATTATTTTTTTGTATTCTTTCTTCTCTTTTTTTCTTATTTTCACAAACTCTGTTTTTTATTATATTTTTCTGGTTTTAATTAACATCAAAAAATTGAAAACTATTTAAATTGTTTAATTAGTTTTTGGTTATACATGTAAAGAAAAAACATCATGAAACAACAAAAAGAGAGTGGGGTTGCTTTTTGTTTGTTTGTTTTGATATAAAATAATGAATGATTTAAACTTTGATTTGATTTGATTACCAATTGATTTAATAAAAAAACAAAATGTTTGTTGGGATGAGCTAAAAATCGTTAAGTAGAAAAATTTTCAATAAAATTCATACTTTGACATTCAGCTGACACTTGTGGAACCCAAGCGAATAATATAACTCCAAATAAGGCTGCAATAGAAAGAGAGTAGTGTAGAAGAAGACGGAGAAAAAAAAAAAACAAACGAACAACAATACAATGACCAAAACTGTTTATAGAGAGAGAACGGGGTGATTGTATGAGAGAGAGAAAGAGTTTACATAAAAAGAGAAATTTAATGGACAAATGTTTTCTTTACTAATTCCAGAAATACCTACAAGGATTTTACTTTGGCATTTGATATTCTTTTTACAAGGAAGGAATTATGACTACCTTAAAATTGGGTTTCCAAAAATGCTAAACCTAGTTTCCAAAAAATTATTAACAATTCCATATTCTGTACAATATTTATATTATAGTCCAATGTATATTGGGTACAATTCAATTCTTTTCTCAAATTGTGCTACTTTTTTAATTCATAAAATAATAATAATAATTTAACAACAAATAAACAAATCAATTATAGACAACTTTTTACATTGAGGATTAACGAATTAGCAGTGTATTTTTTTTCATAAATTTTTGCTTTGTTAGACAAAATGGGTTAATTTGAAATTACAAAATAAAAACGTATCTAATTTAATGTTTTTGCTTTTTGATAGAGTTCCCAGTTGAGTGAAATGAGAACATAAGGGAAATTTTCAAATGATTTGTTTGGAAATTGGGATCGAAACATTTGAAATTCCGAAAATCAGGTCCGATTTACTTTGTTTTCAGTACTAAACATCCTAAGAATAATGTCAATGTCAGTGCGAAATTTCAATTTATTTTTGGACAGACGGGCATTGCTAAGAGCACGTTTACATACAAATGCAACACAAAAAAGGATTGTAGGAAAAACCTTGTAGATTATGAAAGTAGTCACCTTTGGCACGAATTATGGCCTGCCCGAATGTTGCTCTGCGGTATTTTGGCCCATTCCCGGCGAAGCGCTTGCTTGAGGTGATCGACACTTTGGAATATTTTAGTGCCAACCTTGCGTTCCAAAATCCTCCAGACACAATAGTCCAACGGATTGGTATCCGGAGATTTTGGTGGACATTGTTCGCTGGAAATGAAGCGAGGAACCCCATTTTGTAACCATTCTTGGATGGCGCGTGAGTGCGATGATGCTGAGTCCTGTTGGAATGCCCAAGGTCTGCGGCCAAAATGTTTGCGTGCCCAATGCTTTAATACACCCTCCAGAATATTTTCGCGATAAAATTCGGCATTTATTCTGATGCCACGGTCGATTAATATGAGCAGAGAGTGACCATCGGCTGTTATGGTGGCCCACACAAACATCATGGCCGGCGCTTGAGTTCTGGTGGCCAACCAAATGTGGACATTTTCAGCTGACCTCTTGGGCAAGTAAAAACGATCATTTTGTTCGTTTACAAACTGTCGGACAAGGAATGTTTTCTCATCGGAGAAAACCAAATTCGGCAGTTCACCACTTTCGGCCAAGCCAAGCAACTCTTTAGCTCTTTTGAGTCTATTTTCTTTCTGTAGCGGTGTAAGTTCTTGCACTTTTTGGAATCTCAATGGCTTTACCCCGAGCTCATTTTTCAATATTTTCCGAATAGAATATTGCGATATGTTCAGCCCACGGTCCATTTTTCGGCCAC